AGTTTGTTTGACTTTGTGCAAGCATATTTTGCACTTTGATGAAGGGGTAATTTTTTAACACAACTGTGGTGCTAAATCAGTGGGTGAGTATAACAAGATCATTTGGTTTTATCAACTCAATTGATAATGTAAGTTGGCCACTTAAGATTTTATAAGCTGACATTTCAAGTATTATTAGCTGTTTGTTAGAGCAAATGCCATGACAGGCAGTAGCTCAAAACATCAGCTTAGAGACTCTTTACAATGGCCAATTTACACTGTCTCCTCAGTTATTGAAAATGAATTACTGGTGTCATGTTATTTTGCACTTGTCATTTTCAGGCCTTATCTTTCATTTACCATTATTAATTGCATGCTGAACTCCACTGGTCATGTAAGTTGATCATGATCAATGTTCAAGGCGTGGATGATCCACATTGTGTAATGATCTTAGGCCAGGCACTCTCACAGTGCATCTTTCCACTCAGTAGTATAACTGAATGGCACCAACCTAGTGTCATGGCTGCCTGTGATGGACCAACAGCCAACCGGTAATACACTTCTATCAGTGCTTCATGCTTTAGAAGTAAGGGTTGCTTCCTCAGTAATGAGGCACCAGGCTCTTAGACCAACTATGTAATACTATTAAATACACTTCGAGATAATATGATAAAGTCTTTTTATTTTCAGAACAACAGTGAACCAATTCATATACCATTGCTATCAAGAGGGACAAAGTTTAGAAAAATATTGAATGAGGATGAGGTGACTTTAATTTCTTTTCTTTTCCTGTTGCATTTCTGGACTTTTAATATATTTAACTTAATTAAAAAAAAATTGAAATGAAATTTCTTGGAGAAGAGATGAGATAGTATTTGTTGGTGAAACATCAGGTTTTTGACAACTTACATGTACATGTATCATCAATTATGATGAGTGCAAAGGAAGCTAGTGATAAGGTTTTTATCTGAAGGGAAGTATTCTATGGATTTTAGGTTGCTACATGTACATCTATGTATGTCCTTCCATAAGAATGTTAAATACAAAATACACTCAGCGGCATTTTTGACCCCTCCCCCTCCTTCCCTCCTCATTCTAGAAGAGGAGCTTAAAGAACTATCCCTTCCCTATTTCTGCCTTTTCATTTTCAGAAACTGACTTACGAACAGTGGTTGGACTCATTGACAGTCATTACGTGATGATATATTTTATTTTTATTTAAAGCAGTTAATTTTCTTTTTTTTTGTTTTAGTATGCCTGCCTGAAAAAACAAATATCTTTCTCTCTTTTCCTTTTGTTGTCCAAATTGCATATTGGAGAGGGATGTAGCAAAAAGTTATTTTGGGGGTTATTAGTTAATGAGACAACATTTGCACCTTGACCCAGAGAGAAAAGATATGTTGGCTCTGAAAGAATGTAATGTTCCCAAGTATTTTTTTTTAATTTTGTTCGGCAGATTATTCATGCTTTGGATACATACCCTGGAGTGAAGCTGAATGTTTCACAATATTCTTGGTATTACTCAATTGTGGAATTTTTTTATGCTTTATATTTCTAATGATTTTATGGCTTCTAAATTCTTCAATTACACTGTAAAAATCTGCTCCTACTTATTAATAGCAGGTAAGTGGAGATAATTATATAACAAAAGAGTATACCTTGTCTTCTTAAAAATTGTAGTTCTAACTTCCAGCTCCAAATTTAGAAAAAGTATACATGTTTGTTTGGTTATGTTTAGGTGAACGAAATCACTTTTAAATGTCAATCACATTAAGAATAATTAATTCTACTCACTGTGCTTTTCTTTAGCAAATCACCAATTGAAATTTTTTATCCCTCATCTACTAGTACACTCTTATGGAATAAGAATTTTAGTTAAATTATCATTCTACTTTTGTGGCTGCAGTTAGAATTCCACATTGGAAAAACTCCTGGCCCCTGTAGTTTGAAAGATGGATAACGCTATCCATTGGATAAATTACTATCCAGTGGATAGCACAGTATGTTTTGTTAACACTTATCTACTGGATAACGATTTATCTGTTGGATAGTGTTATCTGCCCTTTAAACAACTGGGCCCTAAAAGACAAATGCTATCTTGGGATTAATGTCAGAATCTGAGCAAATGTATACCTAACCCTCCATAACCCAGCAATAGTCAACTGATAACAAGTTCAGATTAATATTGAGTTAGGGGAGGGGTGGGTGCACAGTTGCTCAGAAACTGATATTGATTCCTATCTTGCATAGCAAATACCACTAGAAATCTGGGGTTATTTTTTTTTCAATGACTATCATTTATTAGTTAGCAGTTCTCTACTATTTGCTTGTTATCTATTACTTCATAAATATTGATGTATTGTTAGGTATAGGGCCTCAATTGAATGCAGCATTGCTGATTTGACTGAAATACCCTCAGATTACACTCTTTTCCTTCTTAATGGTGTGTCCACTAATTTAGCCATGGTGTTCATGCCTCCAGTTAATTACCATATGAAAATCAAAATTGTGGAACTCAGAACTATCCAGAAATCCAATCTCTGATTGACAATTATTGGACAAGCTGGTTCAACATGAACATAAGTGAGAGCTAAAACTTGGACTTATCTACTTAACAAAACCAAAAGAAGAGGTGAATAACTGAAACCAACACCTTGATAACTATATGTTGCTCTTGTGTGGAAAACAAACTGAATTGTTGTTTTCATTCAGTGCAAGTGAAGATTTTAAATCAGTATCTTATCAAAGTATGGTAATAAAAGAATTATCCCTATTCTATTGGTGCAGTTAGACATTGGTAAAGGTTATAATATTACAAAATATTTAATACATGCCATGCCCTATGGTATGTTATGCATAGTATGTTCACCATGCATGATCAAAGCCACAACTTGCCTTTCAGTTTATTTCACTTCAGATTATTTTGAAAAATATCAAGACTATGATGTGGACAGAGCTGCACCTCACAGCCCCTCTCATCCCTCCCCTTCAACTTCACAATGGATATTATACTTGTGCAGCAATGATTTGCTGCTAAAGCTGAGTCTACAATTCCTTCAAGGTGATTGGGCTAGTGACAGTGATCCTGCCAAGGGTTCAATATTTACTTAACACTCTCTAAGTAGAAACCAGGGGGACTCCCATCTGAAAAGGGGAGGATCCTCGTCTGCATGCTTTGGAGTGTAAATTTGGATTTCTGTTTCACCAAGGGTACTGATCAGGGCAATAAACCGTATACTTTAAGCAATTAGGGTCTCTTTTGGGGTTGGTCATGAAGACATGTGATGAAATGAATATCTTAATCATCTAAATCTAAAAAGTTAATATATAATCTAAATCATAAAAATGTTGACTTGGTGTCTTACAATAGTCTCTTTTAGGGGCTGCATATGCTTTGTTGCAGTGTCCAGATCCATCCTCTCTTTTTGGGCGTAGTTTAAAATTCTTAGGGTGTATCACTGTCCCTTTAATGGGGAAGTCCTTGTCCCCCAAGGGCGGGTGGGAGAAGCAGAATATTTTTATTGTCCACAATCTTGTTCCATCTACTCTCTTGTCCAGTTGTGTATTCCTACAGAAATCTATACTGTCACCTTTCTTATCAAATGAATAGACATACATACCTAATTTGTTTTGGGGTTCCATTTCTGGCTTTGTGATGTTGTACCCGTTTGTCCTTTGTGAACACTTCCCATTGTCAGCGATGCATACGTCAAAGTTCAAAATGGCGGCAGATTATAGACAATAGAGGGATCAGAGAAGGATCATCATCGTCGCTTGTTGAGCATTTCTTCCATTTATTAGCTACAGGTATGGGAGGCCCCATTGTGGAGGAACATATAAAATAGTTTTTAATTAAAAAGCCTTGTAAACTTTTTTATAGCTAATCCACGCAAATAGGGATCAGCTTATTCCTTTTTTACGTTATGTTTTACTTCATTTCGAGTCACTTGCGTTGCGGAACTCCACATTCTGTATTTCCATCTACGCGATCTCACGTCAGTTCAAGTCTACCGACCAATTTCTCACGCCCACCAAAACATTGTTTTCAAGTATTTCTTATCTACTTTTGACCTGTTTTATCCATAAAAATGATCACTTTGAATGAACTAGAGACTTGGAGAGTGGGTGCAATACCTGTCATGCATGTATCAGTCCAGTCGCAGTAAACTTGTTTGTTCAAATTTTTGTCGTTTCGGCCTCATGGAAACATCCGGCCATATAACCTAATTTTTACTATTATTATTTGTATTGATTTGCCTCTCCTTTTACTTTAATTCCTTTGTGTTTGGGTATGACTGAGTCTGCGAACATTATTTGTGCCTCAATACGTACATTTCTTGGCCTCCGCAAAAGGGTGAGGCTTCCAACTTCAGTCACGCAGTTCAGTTGCCCTTCCTGTATTTGATACACCTGTGAAGCTTCTTGCGTGAAAAGTCATTCGATAAACTACTGTCAGCTATTGGCTCTGCAGGATCACAAAAATTATCATTTCTAGTGAATTCAATCTCGAACCGTTAGAAAACGATCACTTTCTTTATCATGCAATGTTTACTAGGATCAGTTTGTTTTCAGCGAAAATGTAAATACGAGACTACAATGTTGACTATCCAATTTTCTTAGCCCAGTTCAGGCGCTATGCTTCTCTCGACCTTAATCGGCCAAACTCCAGTAATAGGAGTTTTTCTCCCAAGGTAATTGATGAACACATGTTTGTTCAATTAATTTGTCCGCGTCGTTCTTTAGGAAAGATGCCGGTCGCTGAGTAAATGGGCAAATTATGAATAACAAATTTAGTGAAGCACGGTAGCCAAACAATAGTGACACTTTATTGTAATGAGTTCATGAGTGTTATGACTAAAATAGAATGTGGACACGCGAAAAATCTTGTTGGAAGGCTCGAATAACAAAGGTTGTTCACAGACCTTCGAAATACTCGGTTCAGTGTTGAAAAATCATTCCTTCAGTGGATCAGTTATAGCAATCACCTACACTTGGAGCAAGTTTTTGGACAAAGATTCACGATGAAATATCTCTGTGAAGTTCTTCTCTTCTCTTTTTTCGTGACGGCGCTTTCGAACTCGACTAAACTGTCGTCTAAACCAGCAAGAACCGATAACGATACGAAACATCATCTGCATTGTGGTGTCAATAATAACTATTTCTACGCTGGTCCCAACTCCAAGAAAATAGAAAATATGTTTTCCGACATTCAACAACAACTGACCAAACTTGAACAAGAAATCCGAAACATAAAGAAGAACCAAACTTGTCAGAAGCAAGATGGGAAAGGTTGGTGGGAAAAATTATTATTAGATTGAACGAAGACGATTTAGTTGACTTGGTGCTCATTCGGTTTCGCTTTCTCTCTTTTTTTTCAGCTGTTAATAAGAACTGTGCCGAAGTTTACAAGTCAGGCGACAAGATCAGTGGTGTATACAAAATCGATCCTGATGGTTTGGGAGAATTTGAAGTCTTCTGTGATCAGACAACAGCCGGTGGAGGATGGACGGTGTTTCAAAAGAGATATGGTGGTGCAGTAGATTTTTTCCGAGGCTGGAATGTCTACAAACAGGGCTTCGGCAATCTGAACGGCGAGTTTTGGCTCGGACTGGACAAGATTCACCGCCTGACTGCGAGGAGCAGTAACAAGCTTCGTGTTGACTTGGAAGACCTTCATGGTAAAACAGCGTTTGCAGAGTACAGTTCATTTTCTGTGGCAAGCGAAAGGGCGAAATACCTGCTGGGTTTAGGAGTTTATTCAGGTGAAACTGATTTAATCTAAGAGTGGTGTTAGTAAGTAACGTTACTCAAGTAAAGCAGTTGTACGGTGTAAGAATAATTATATCGTCGGCAATACTGATCTGTAGAAAAGGAGGAAAAGGGTTAAAAGTAAAGTGTTTTGTCATATTTTTCTCTATTTCAAAATGATTTCTCTAAATACGATTGTAGCGAAGACATTTTTCCAAGACTTAAGGGTTATTGCTGTTTAGGAAATTTACACTCATTATGCAAAATGTTTCAATCTTCACTTTTTCAGGCACATTATCATAAAATTCTCACTGAAAATACATTTTTTCAGGCACGGCTGGTGATTCTCTCAGTTATCATCGCGGCTTACCATTCACCACTAAAGATCGAGATAATGACGCCGACTCAAGAAACTGTGCCTCCATGTATACGGGCGCTTGGTGGTACAAGAATTGCCATTTCTCAAACCTCAATGGCCTCTACATGAATAATAAAAATGACGGTAAAGGAATGGCGTGGTATCACTGGAAAAAAAATTATAAATCTGTTAAGAGGTCTGAGATGAAAATCCGTCCAAAGGACTTCTAAGGTTCATCATACTTTGATAGTGTCAAAAGATGAATATGTTCTCAGCAGATATTTAAGGGTTGATGTATTTTAGTTTTAAAAGTAAAGTTTTCAAAAAAATCAGAAGTGCATGATTATTAATCAAAGTTAAAACCGCTGACGAAGCCATAAAAATAAAATACTTCTATGAAAGAGATGTAGATGTAACTAAGCTTGTGGTTCCAATAAAGATAAAACAAAGGGGAAAAGAAAGTGTCTTTTGCTGTAACATCAATATTCCAGCGGTGCCTGACAAAATAAGACGCTGTTGAAAGCGTTAACTCGAGTCTGCTTGAGGAGTATATAAGGAATAAGGCGAAAAAAAAAGCGAAAAAAAAAATGAGCGACCCGAAAACAACTAAGAGTATCCACACATCAATCACATGACAGTTAAACGGGTATAATAAACGTGAGAGGATCACATCCAAGTAAAGGGCATTTGGCGACGAAACACGAAAAAACGGCCAGTAGATAAAGACTCGCCGCCTACGGCTAGGTTCGAGCTATAATAATTGAATGTGACCCTAAAATTATAAAAGTGACGCAACAGAAACACTACGTGTATATTTTACCATTAAATGGGCCAAATCAGTAGAGAATAATACAAAACTAAAAGCCCAAGCAACAAAAGCGAAAAAAATCTAACAAAAGAACGAACAAAATGAACAACCCGACAACAACTAAGAGTATTTACACATCAATCACATTACAGTTAAACGAGTAGAAATGAAAGAGGATCACATCCAAGTAAAGGACTGTAAAAAACTTCTCTGTGATAATCTCTTTCATATTAGGAAAGAGAGGATTCATAAGTAGATAATCCTGTCCGATGATGTCCTGCTGACGTGAAAAATCCAAAAGTCGATTATATATTCTCCAAATAAAAATTTGTTTTCGAGGAGATCGGAAACTTTGAGTCGTAAAGTACATTATGGGAGACTCCTTTGAAATATTAAGGACTTTTTTCCCACAACTTCTTCAACAAATATCTCTATTTTACAACAGATCGAACAAATGTCAATCTGCTTTTTTCAGGCAAGCGGCAGCAAACGCGAGGCGAGCGTGGGGGGATAGAAACGTGTGAAAGGAAGACCGCCAAACAATAACAATATTCAATGAAGGAGTTGCATAACTTAACACTGGCTCGTTCTTCCCATCAACAACGCGCTCTAATTAATTTGCCCACGTCAAACTAGACTCCGTTCTTTTGTTCACCGATGTTTTATAGGACTTGTTAAATAACGAAACAATATCCAATTTGTGGTTGAAATGGCGAAGTCAAAGGAAGAAATAGATACAGTACGCAAATTAAAGATAAATAAACATTTTGGTCCACCCTAAAATTTTTTCCAAGCTAGTAATAATCACAGATTTGTAAAGTGCGTCCGATCTCGCTTCGTAATGAGTGTTTCTGTCTTGGCTTGACAAAATCCAGAATACCATTAACCTATAATCATAGAATGGTTCGTGGCGCGGCTCATAATAACTAATTGTGTTCGATCAAAAGTCATATTAGGCACGAAAAAGTCGACGACTGCATAGGAAACTTCAATTTATGCAAAGTCCTTGAATATTTGTCAACTTTTGGGACACAGCACCTGACACCTGACAACGTTTCACGAGCTTAATGCGATCTTTCTCAAACTTAGATTATGGATAATTGGCAAAAATGGCGTCAAATAAACCATGTGTTTTGTTCCGTTGGACTAAAAGTTATCCTTAAATTTCGCTCATATTTGCGACCAACTCTCGAAAGTTAAGCTTTCAGCTGTTTTTCATGACCGATGTCATCAATTACTTCATGTGAGTACCGAAAATAAAGCTTTTAATCAACGTTTACATAAAAATATCAAGAATTTAACTGAGGTGGCGACTTTCTGGATCAGTTTTTGGCAATTTTTTTAGTAACTTTTTGGCATTCCAATGAGAAATTTTCCAGTATTCTACGATCACAATCGGTACAGGCCTATACCCTACTCGTAAACATTTTCTTAACAGCATATAAAAACAATTAAATAACAGTTCTTTTGCGCTCGAAGAGTCTATACTTTTTTCGTTTCTTTATTGCGACTTTTATTTTGTTTAAGTATCCATTAGAGTTTCCTTTTTTAGTTATGCGATAGTAAGAAATTAAAAATTGTTTATAATCCCTTGGCGATGGGTCATTGTAAAAACAGTTCTTTAAAAAACCTTTTGTTTTGTTTTTCGATGTTGGCCAATAACTGAGCCTCGAGTCCATGTACTCGACCCAGTTACGCAGCTCGTTTCTAAGCATATCGAACATGGGCTGATTATTCTTTAGTTGATAAACTTTTGTGGTTTCAAGCAACAGATATGTTTTCTTAACTTGTTAATAAGCAAGGCCGCGGATGATAGTTTTCTCTTTACTGAACTTGTTAAAGCTTACGCTGGATTGAAGGCAACAAAGGTTTCATTTGAACACAAGTAATTATTAAGGTATTCATTCCGAAGGCAACTTTGTCCACAAAAGGAGGTTCTGGGCGACAACGAGGTCGATTTCTACAGTATCCTGAAAGACTTCGCAAAGAAGAAAACCATGCAGGGCTTGCGGCAAAATCACTTGGTCTTTGCGATTACTGGCATATTTCTGTTAGTTTTGTTCGTTGGGGCAAACAGAGACTTATGTGGGAGTGTTTTTAAAACTCAAGTTGGTAAGTAATAAACCTGGCTCGGTCCAGCCTAATTTCCTCATGTTTACCCAAAGACTTCTCTTTGCAGGCTATGCCTTACTGGGTCACGTTATGACTAAAACTGATGTTCTTGACGAGTTTGAGTGTCAGCTAAAATGTATGGGAAATGGCAGTTGCAAATCGTTTAATGTCCATCACAAAAGCAATAATACGAAGCGCATTTGTGAGCTGAACAACATAACATGGCAGATGAACCCGGATGATTTCAAACAGAAGAAAGGATCCACGTACTTTGGATCTGTTCAGGTCAGTAAAAAAAATGCATCTCTGAAGTTTGCTTGTTATCGTGTTGGATTCTACAGGCGTTAATGCAATCATTGTTAATTCGTGTCAATATTAAATTTTGGTAACACTAACATTAATCACCGTTTAGTTTCCATTGTTTGCTATTAACAACCGTTTCAAAAGTCGTATTTGTTTAATCCTTAGAGATCACAGATTTTGGACGCCTTGCTTTTTTTCCTTCTTATTTTTTCCTGGTTTTGTGAATAACCTTGAGCAAGCAAGTTAAAAAGGAATGCCGGAGTTGCACGAGCGCGAAAATTTAAAAATCCAGCATGCAGAGACCGCTGTAAGCAAGGCTTGGTCCCGACCCTCTTCATTAGTACATTTAGCCTCAATACCTAAGGAAAAGACAATTGGCAAAAATGAACTCCGATTTGGTTCCCTTTTCCTGTTATCCTTAAGGCAAGGCTTTAGATAGCATCGACAATAGCTTAGAGAACTCGGTGGCACGACGTTCAATGTTTCCCTTTTGCCGTTTAACGTAAGGGTCAAGTTTAACTTCAATTTATACAGAGTAGCTTTGCAGCTGCCATCAATTTGTTATAACAGAGCGCTGTGAAAACAACAGAAGGCATAAAAAGTAAGACTTACTTCATAATTTGTTAATTGGATTCTTTGTCGCACACGCAATTACCTCCTCAAAAAAATTACTCTCCTGATTTACACTTTTATCTCTCTACATTTTATATACATTCATTCACGAAGAATTGATTTTTCTTTATTGAATGATTTAAATTTAATCCTTGAGCAGTTTTTTCGTTTAATGCCTTTTGAGATGTTTCACATCGTCATGATTCAACAGTTTAAAGGATGATGTTCCATTGCAATCGCTTTTCATAGAAATAAATAGGAATCAAAATTATATTAGTCAAAGAAAAGTCTATCGCTTGTACGGCCATCAAAAAACTGCAGGAAACATTCTTGACGCGTTTTTTTAAACTTGACCCAGGCCACATGCGTCCATGTTTTCCATGAAAACAATGAACAAATAAATGGCAGCAAGTGTCGTCCAGGATACAAAGGAGAAAGGTGTCAAATACGTAAGTACTTATTACAATAACAATTTAACGTATATTATGGCTTCAAGCCCTTTTTTCAAAAATTGTAAAATGGTCGCCATTTAAACATTTCATGGTCGCGCAACTACTCCTCTCTCACTCCTAAAGAAAAAATAAAAAAGAAAGAAAACGTCTGGTACCAGAGAAGATTCACAACAAAGATGCTGAGACCGGATTAATACGATTTCGGTCGATTGTGCAGCTGAAAAATATCTCTCATAGTTTGCAGTGAGCTAAACTATTAGTGTTGAAAACCTTCCTTATTTTAAACAACATTTTGAATCGCTTAAGACTTACTTCGTACTGCAAAGTTGATGATTAGACTGAGATGCTGAACGTCATTTAAATGAAGGTTATGTCATTGAAATCAGTTTGACTTGATCAACGCTCATTTATGGTTCATGCGTATCTAGAGTGACGGAACGGCGAGAAAGAACAAGAGAAAGACAGGACAAACGGGCGTTGTTCGATAATTCGACCAAAGATTGATAATTTTCTCAAGTCTCCTTTTTTTATTTTTCTTTTCTTTTCGATCTGTTGGTTGCCAATTGGCGACTTTGGTCTAAAGTTTAGTTGACAAATATGACCAGATATATTTTTCACCCGCCAACTTGAAGCGCTGATATAGCTATGAGCAATTTGAGCTAACCAAACAGCCACACCTTTAAAATTGTCAATGAGCCATGCGTGCATGCATGAACCATTAGTTCATGCCTAGATAGTCACTCACTTTTAAAAATAAAACGTTTGATCTTGATAGTGCAGCACACGCTTTATTTGTGAAACTCAACGCATTGTTAACAAACCTTTTTTCCAATATCCGTTATATGCTTCTTGACCCGTCCGCTTTATGGCGCACCGTACGAGGAGTTGACGAACTCTGGATAACAACTCGCAAATGAATTCAATTTCATTTCACCTGCAGATGAAAATTAGGCAAAGAATTGACCCTCATAGGTGGACTGCACCTTTAGCAATTACAAAAAAGCAGCCTGAAAAAATTTCAGGCTTCGAAAGGATTCGAACAGTCGTGCCAAGAGGGGTTTCACACAATCTACTTTAGGTAACTAGGCAGAATACAACCTCTGCACCAAGCCGAATATTACATTTCAATGTGGATCAGATTGATTACGTGGCAAACCTTGGCTCAAAACTTGAAAGTGGGAACAGGGAAATTAATGATAATACTGTCCAGTCTATAAGACATTTCTTTCGCTAGCTGGATCGCATTTTTCAGGTGTGGATTTGCAATGGTAGATCTGTGTTCTGCCGAGATTTTGTTGCTGTCGTCGAGTTTCGTGTTCTAATATATGTCTTTTTTAATTCTTATTTATCACACCATTTATTTATTTTTTTACACGGCCTGTCAACGCGATCAACAGTAGTTTAGAGTAGCCAAACCCAACTACAAAAGACAAAAAGTTTCTGTCTGCATTAAAATTTTCGTGATGATTAAGCAAATGTGGACCCAAACTCCAAAAGATTGAAAATAAAAGAAGACTACGGCGAAGGACGATGATGATGATCTTGATGCACACAATAATGATCAGTTGTTTTTCTTATAACTTATGCTTATAAATATTTTCGTTCTTAGAAGGCAGGATTTATGGGGATAGGGATAATTACAAGTTTACGAATGTCTTAGTAGGCTGGTAAGAAAAAGCTAAGTTTTTTCGGGATGGAAAAATAATAGAACCGAGTATTCTACAGAGATTCCAAGTTGCTGGTAGCAAAATCAATTTTCAAGCTCCCCATTTAAACCTCATTAGGTTGCAATCCCAATTACATAAAATTGAATACTCTCTCTTGTAGCTTCTAAGAGCTGTCTCGAAATTTACAAGTCTGGCTATAAGATGAGTAGAGTGTATTACATCGATCCTGATGGTTTGGGTGAATTTAAAGTCTTCTGTGATCAGACGACGGCTGGGGGAGGATGGACGGTGTTTCAAAAGAGATTTGACGGCACTGTAGATTTCTTCCGCACCTGGGATGACTACAGACAGGGCTTCGGCAATCTGAACGGCGAGTTTTGGCTCGGGCTGGACAAGATTTATCGCCTGACTGCGAGCAGCAGTAACAAGCTTCGTGTTGACTTGGAAGACGTCCGTGGTGGAAGGGCATTTGCAGAGTACCAGTCATTTTCTGTGGCCAATGAGGAAGAGAAATATTTATTAATATTGGGAAGTTATTCAGGTGCGATTGAACTTTCTCACAACGACTATATATTCGAGGGCATATTGTTAATTTGCACCCGCGCAGTGTCTCTTGCGAGCTGAGCGCGCGTACTAAGAATTATGTTATCAAACATTTTGCTAGTATAAGTTGGGCCTCACGAAAACCTCACTCTGAACATGGTAGTGTTTGTTGCTGTGGAGGTGATTGTTCGTTGCATGACGATTAATTCAAGAGTTTTTTTTAACAGGCTCTGCAGGTGATTCTCTTGCATATCATCGTGGCCTACAATTTAGCAGCAAAGATCAGGATAATGACAGATCCCAACACAACTGTGCTTCATCCATGAAAGGCGGCTGGTGGTACAACAGTTGCCAACACTCAAACCTAAACGGTTTGTACCGAAAAGGACAAAGTGGATCAACGGTAATGCGCTGGAATCGCTGGAGAGGCAGTGAGTCTGTCGAAAGATCAGAGATGAAAGTTCGTCAAAATGACTCCTAAGGTCTGATATTGGGAGTTCCAGGTCAAATGAAAGAAAACATGTATTCTGAAGGAAAAAAGAGCATGCTGTTGTTTTTTGTTTTCTTGGCTTATATTTCAAAGACTCGATCGTTACTTCTTGTTGGTTAAACTTTCACTGTAAAAAGGTTTCAAGGTTTGTAGAAATCAAATTTTCGTGTCGTAATCGGAACAACTAAGAATAAGAGATTGTTTAATAGTGTAAAGAGTTTTCCATATGATTTTGTTTTCAAAAATTTATCGCGAGGATCAAAATTGGTTAACACCGCTGTCATGGTACCTCAAGAGATTTGCAGTGCGAGGACAAATTTGTTTCTTCACTTAAAAGTTTTGATGAGATATTTACATATTGCTAAACGAAAGAACAATTAACTTTCTAATTCAATGGCTCAAGCAAAGGATGGCTGGATGCTCTAGAAGGCATGGTCTGAGGTCTATTTGATATTTCAAATGACAAAGTCCGTTTTTAATCTTTTCTCATTCTCATAATCTAAAGTAAGCTTATCATCGGCTCGCTAAGAATATTAAAGTTGATAATCCTCAGATAAAGCTATTGCACATCATTTTTAAACGCTCTGTTGAGTCTCCTATTAGAAACATCTTTCTTCCAACGCCCCTAGAGCTCATGCGCGCTACTGAAATTGCTGCTGATCATGAGAATAGAACAACTGGCTCATGTTGATCTTGACGGTATATTTTGTGATCTTAGCCGAAATCTCCGCCTTTGTTTTTTTATTCGAAAAAAGATTGCTCTTCACCTAGTATGTGGCAGCCAGGCATAGGTCTGGCCAATTTTGTAAGTGGATGGTATAATGTTGTTCAGGCCCTTTGAACCCAAAGTTCTCGCTACTCAGGAAGTGTTAGCAACGGCAGGAGCCCATTACTTAAGTAATGGACTCCTGGAAACAGGTATAAAACACGTGTGTACACACCTTTGGTATACTTCCTTCAAGAGAGAATCAGAAACCTGTGTCGAAATTGTGAAAAAGCTGTACCACACTTCCCTATTAAGTCACGGTTTATTCACCTGATTTAACGATTTTACAACAACGCTTCGGTTAACTTCCACACACAACTCTCGGCTTACTCGAAGGGAACACACACAACTTCCCGTTGTAAGCACGTGGAACAGTGCCATACATGGGGTGATAAAACATGTGCCGCATACATGCTTGTTTGGCTATGTATAGATAAATGAAATCACTTATAAATGTCAATCAAGTTAAGAATAACTAATGTATTGTTCAGTTTCCAATACCTGCCCCTTGCACGATATGATTAGTACAGTGGGAATGAAAAAGACTCTAGTGTCCAGTTGTCTATGGTCGCTAATTGGTCATCTTTCCTAGGCTCCTCTCGGCCGTAGTTTATAAACATAGACTTTGCGGGATTGTTTATCGTCTTTGCCGAAGTGTGCACGATCATTTCAGCTGGAAGTAGCGCGCTAATGATCAAATTGGGAATTCAAATCAAGAAGAAGACTCTTACCTTTCAACCCGTGATAATTCCGACCTACATACCTGCAGAAAATTGGGAAAATGCTAGATACATCTTCATGGATACTTACTCAGTAACAGTTGTTCCTCAACTTTTTTTTCGTGTATTCGGGAAAGTAGTGGATCTGACACGATCATTAATGAAAATCAGGATCATGGTTAAAAATCTGTGAAATTCAATGCTGATCGTAAATTTATTTGCATATTAAATGTTAACTTGGATCTCCTATGACCGAACATGTCATCATCATGGAGCAGAATTTTCACGAAACGAGCTCCAACTGAGAAAACGAGACTCGTAAAGATATCTAGTCATTCGGGAACCAGATTTAATTTATATCAGCATATATATAATCAGTGTGTTTGTTTGTTTCTGTTTGTGTGCTTTCCACACCAACAGTTACTTTTTGAACAGGTCCTCTTTACCACTTGTACGGCTTTGTCTATTATCATGCAGGACTATGCACTGAATCAGCCTATACGTTGAATTGGCATATTTTCATTACCAATTCATTTCATATACTCTTTGAATGATCTTATTCTTATTTTTGCAAACTTGATTTTAAAATTTAATTGTCCTTAAAGACTTGTTATCCTTGTTATCATACCTTATGTGTTTTGCCTTGTTATCCTTGTTATCATACCTTATGTGTTTTGCCTTGTTATCCTTGTTATCATACCTTATGTGTTTTGCCTTGTTATCCTTGTTATCATACCTTCTGTGTTTTGCCTGGGGTTCCATTTTAAACTGGCTTTGTGATGTTGTCCCCGCTTTTCCATTGTGAACACTTCCCATCGTTAGCGTTGGAAAGTTCAAAATGATGGCAGATTGTAGACAATAGAGGGATCAGAGAATGATCGTCATCATTGCCTGTTGAGCATTTCTTTCATTTATTAGCTCAAGGTATGAGAGGTCCTATTATGGAAGAACACATAAAACAGTTTTTAGTTAAGAAGCCTTGCAAAGTTTTTTTAGCTAGTCCACGCAAACAGGTATTAGCTAATTGCTTTTTTTCGGTAGGCGTTGCTTCATTTCGAGCACCTTACGTTGTGAAACTCTACATTCTGTGTTTCCATCGACGATCTCACGTCAGTTCACATCTACCGGCCAATTTCTCACGCCCACCGAAGCATTGTTTTTAAATATTTCTTATCTACTTTTGACCTATCATTCATAAAAAAATTATTACTTTGAATAAAACTGGAGACTTGGAGAGTGGATGCTGAAAAAATAAATAGCAATATCTGTCATTCATGTATCAGTCCAGTCGCAATAAACTTGTTTGTTCAAATTTTTGTAGCTTCGGCCTCATGGAAACATCCGGTTACATAACCTAGTTTTTGCTACTATTATTTTAATACTTTGCCTCCACTATTACTGAAATTTCCCAGTGTTGATGCATGAGTAGCCAGCAAGCGTTATTAGCGCCTCAATAAAAACATTCCTTGGCCTGCGAATAAGCTCGAGGCCTTGAGAAACGCTAACTGGCGGGTGATCTGGTACTAGTGCCAGATCCCTAGAAGACCTCTCGCAGTTCAGTTGAGGGCGAAGGAACGCTTGTGCTGCAGCGCTAATAATAATAAGAACCTACTCACAGACTACTTCAGTAGCAATGTATTACATGGCTATCAATTTTGCGACTATTCAAACAAGACTGATAAACGTGTCAGCCAGTGAACCACATTCGCTGATCAAAGACCCAACTTCAGTCACGCAATTTAATTGCCCTTCCTGCATTCGATGCACCTGTGAAGCTTCTGCATGAAAAGTTACTCGATGAAATATTATCAGCCATTGACTCTGCAAGATCACAAAAATAATCAATTCTAGCGAATTGCATTCTGAACCATTAGAAAACGATCACTTTCTTTATAATGCAATTTTTACCAAGATCAGTTTGTTTTCAGCAAAAATGTGAACACGAGACTGAGATTTTGACTAGCCAACTTTCTTAGCCCAGTTCAGACGCTCTGTTTCTCTCGACCCGAATCGGTCAAACTTCAGTAATAGGATTTTTTCCCTAAGGTAATTGATTAACAAATGTTTGTCCAATTCATTTGCAAGGTCGTTCTTTGGGAACGATGCCAGTCGCTGAGTCACTGAGCAAATTATGAATAACAAATTTAGTGAAGCACGGTGGGTAAACAATAGTGACACTTTATTGTAATGAGTATATGAGTGTTATGTCTAAAATAGAATGCTGACACGCGAAAAATCTTGTTGGAAGGCTCGAATAACAAAGGTTGTTCACAGACATTCTATAAACTTGGTTCAGTGTTGAAAAATCATTCCTTCAGTGGATCGGTTATAGCAATCACCTGCACTTGCAGCAAGTTTTCGGACGTAGATTCACGATGAAATATCTCTGTGAAGTTCTTCTTTTCTGTTTTTTCCTGACGGCACTTTCGAACGCGACGAACATGTCGTCTAAACCAGCAAGAACCGATAACGATACGAAACATCGTCCACATTTTAGTATCAATAACAACTATTTCTACGCTGGTCAGAACTCCAGGAAAATAGAAAATATGTTTTCTGACATTCAACAACAACTGACCAAACTTGAACAAGAAATCCGAAACATCAAGAAGAACCAAACTTGTGAGAAGCAAGATGGGAAAGGTTGGTGGGAAAATGACTTTTAGATTGAACGAAGACGATTCAGTTGACTTGATGCTCATTCAGTTTCACTTTCTATCTTTTTTAAAGCTGTTTATAAGAACTGTGCCGAAGTTTATAGGTCAGGCGACAAGATCAGTGGTGTATACAAAATCGATCCTGATGGTTTGGGAGAATTTGAAGTCTTCTGTGATCAGACAACAGCCGGTGGAGGATGGACGGTGTTTCAAAAGAGATATAACGGTGCGGTAGATTTTTTCCGCGCTTGGGATGACTACAAACGGGGCTTCGGCAATCTGAACGGCGAGTTTTGGCTCGGACTGGACAAGATTCACCGCCTGACTGCGAACAGCCGCAAAAAGCTTCGTGTTGACTTGGAAGACATCCACAGTAACACAACGTTTGCAGAGTACGGTTCATTTTCTGTGGCAAGCGAAAGGGTGAAATACCTGCTGAGTTTGGGAGGTTATTCAGGTGAAACTGATTTAATCTAAGAGTGGTGTTCGTAAGTAACGCTATTCGAGTAAACTTCGCAGGTAGTGTTGAAAGCAGTTGTCCGGTGTAAGAATAATGATACTGTCGGCAATACTGAGGTGAAGAAGAAAAGGAAAAGGGTTAAAATTAAATTATTTTATCATATTTTTCTTTATTTCAAATTGATTTCTCCAAATACGTTTATAGCGAACACATTTTTCCAAGACTTATAGGTTATTGATGTTTAGGAAATTTATACTCATTATTCAAAATGTTTCTTAATGAAAAAGCTGAAACAAATCTTTCACTCTTTTAGGCACATTATCATAAAATTCCCACTGAAATTCTTTTTTTCAGGCACGGCTGGTGATTCTCTCAGCTATCATCGTGGCTCACCATTCAGCACTAAAGATCGAGATAATGACGCCGACTCAAGCACCTGTGCCTCCAATTATACGGGCGCTTGGTGGTACAAGAGTTGCTATCACTCAAACCTCAATGGCCAGTACATGAATGGTAAAATTGATGTTAAAGGAATGGCGTGGTATCACTGGAAAAAAAATCATAATTCTGTAAAAAGATCTGAGATGAAAATCCGTCCAAAGGACTTCTAAGGTTCGTCATACTTTGATAATGTGAACCAAAAGATGAATATGTGCTCAGCAGATACATAAGGGTTGATGTATTTTAGTTTTAAAAGTATAGTTTTCAAACAAGTTAGAAGTGCATGTATTATTATTCAAAGTTAAAACCGCTGAAGAAGCCATGAAAATAAAATACTTCTATGAAAGAGATGTAGATGTAGCTAAGCTTGTGGTTCCAATAAAGATAAAACAAAGGAGGAAAAAAGCGTCTTTTGCTGTAACATTAATATTTCATCAGTGCCCGACAAAACAAGACGTTGCTGAAAGCGTTAACTCGAGTCTGCTTGAGGAGTATATAAGGAATAAGAACGAATTTTTTCTTAGTAGCATGAGTTTAGGTATATAATTAAACTTTGAGAAACAAGGACGTCGGCATGATGTCGTCCCCAGTTTCAAAGGTCTACACAAGGAACGCCTTGGACCATGAGCCAATTAAGGACTCTTTTTTCCCTCAACTTCTTCAACAAATGTTTGTTTTACAACAGAACAAATGTCAGTTTGCGTTTTCAGGCAAGCTGCAGTAAGCGTGAGGCGAGCGTGGGGGGATATAAGTGTGTGAAAGGAAGAGCGCCAAACAATAACAATATTCAATGAAGGAGGTGCACAACTTAACACTGGCCCGTTCTTCCCATCAACAACGCGCTCTAATTAATCTGCCGACATCAAACTAGACACCGTTCATTCATCCACCAATGTTTTATAGGACTTGTTAAATAACGAAACGATTTCCAATTCGTAGTTGAAACGGCGAAGTCAGATGAAGAAATAGATACGGTGCGCAAATTTAAGATAAATAAACATTTTGGTCCACCCTAAATTTTTTTCCAAGCTAGTAACAATCACAGATTTGTAAAGTGCGTCCGATCTAGCTTCGTAATGAGTGTTTCTGTCTTGGCTTGACAAAATCCAGTGTATAATTAACCTATAATCATAGAATGGTTCGTGGCCGGACAAACCGGACTAGGAACATTCGACTGACGACAACTATTCACTTGACTCAGAAGATGACTTCCGCCCAGGTTGTCGAAACGTCGTCACCACTACCGACAACAGTCCTTCTCAGAATTACACCCACCCGGAAGATCAAACTACACTAATAAATTGTGAAATGGTCGCTATTGAAAAATTTTTGGTCGCCCCACTACTTCCCTCCCACTGCTCAAGAAAAAAGCAGGAAAAAAAAACGGTCATCAACAGGAGGAAATCTCATGTTGTACTGGATAAACTATCTACTAAGGCGAACATTTGCCAAATTTAAACGGTTACTTGCTTGCCGATTAAAAGAAAAAGAGTTGAAGAGGTTCTGATGTCTGATAGCAGAAATGATTTACAGCAAAGCTGCTGAGACCAGATTAATATCGTAAAGATTTCGGTCGATTGTTCAGCTAAGGAACATCTCTCATAGTTTGAAGTGAGCTAAACTGTAAGCATTGAACACCTTTCTTATTTTAAAAAACATCTTGAATCACCTAAGACTTAGTCACCATACCTCGTCAGCAAAGTTGATGGTTAGACTGAAATGCTAAACGCAAAATGAAGGTTATATTATTGAAATCAGTTTGACTTGATCAACGCTCATTTAAGGTTAATACGTATCTGAGAGTAACGGAACGGCGAGAAAGAACAATAGAAAGACAGTAAAAATTGGCGTTTGTTCGATTGACGATAAAGAAGACTACGGCGAAGGACCATGATGATGATCTTGATGCAGACTATAGTGGTCAATTCTGACGAAGGGCTAACGCTCGAAACGTCAGCTTTTTTACCCTTTACGGTGGCTAATTTACGTTTTCAACCCAGTTGTTAACACTAAATTACCTGCTATACTCTCCCACCGACGCAGCACCACAGTTTCTTTAGAAACTTACCCCTTTATAGTGGTCAATTGTTTTTTTTACAACTTATGCTTGTAAATATTTTTGTTCCTAAAAGGCACGATTTGTGGGGATAGAGACGGTCTATACCGAAAAGGTCAAACTGGATTAACGGTAATGCGCTGGAATCGCAGGAGAGGAAGTGATTCTGTCGAAAAATCAGAGATTAAAGTTCGTCCAAATGACTCCTATGGTCTGGCATTGGGAGCTTTGGGTCAAAAATGAAAGAAAATATGTATTCTGAAGGAAAAGTAGGCATGCTGTTGCTTTTTCTTTTCTTGGCTTATATTTCAAAGACTCGATCGTTACCTCTTGTTGGTTAAACTATCATTCTAAAAAGGTTTCAAGGTTTGTAGAAATCAAACTTTCGTGTGATGATCGGAACTGCTAAGAAAAAGAGATTGTATAAGAGTTTTTTTTAAATTTATCGCCAGGATCAAAACTGGTTAACACGCTTTCATGGTACCTCAAGAGATTTTCAGTGCGAGAGCAAATTTTTTTTTTTTAACTTAAAAGTTTTGATAAACTATTTACATATTGCCCAACGAAAGAACAATTAACTGTCTAATTCAATGGCCCAAGCACAGGATAGCTGGATGCTCTAGAAGGCATGGTCTGAGGTCTATATTTCAATTTGAGGTCTATGTATTTCAAATGATGTCCGTTTTTAATCTTTTCTCGTTCTTATAATCTAAAGTAAGCTTATCATCGGTTCGCTAAGAATGTTAAAGTTGACACTCCTCAGATAAAGCTATAAAACATTATTTGTAAACGTTCTGTTGAGTCTTCTATGAGACGCATACATCTTCCTTTAAACGCCCTCAGAGCCCGTGCACGGTGCTGCAATTGCTGCTGATCATGGGAATAAAAAAACTGGCTCATGTTGATCTTGACAGTATATTTTATGATCTCAGCCGAAATCCCACTTCAATTTTTTTTTTGAAAAAAGATTGCTCATCACCCAGTATGTGGCAGCCAGGCATAAGTCTGGCCAATTTTGTATAATGTTTTCTAGGCCCTCTGAACTCAAAGCTCTCGCTGCTCAGGAAATGTTAGCAACGGGTATAAAATATGTGTACACACCTTTGGTATACTTTCTTCAAGAGAGAATCAGAAACCTGCTCCTTGCACGATGCAATTAGGACAGGGAAAACCCAAGTAACGTTGGGGAGATCACTGGGGATGGAAAAGACACTAGTGTCCAGTTTACTGTGACCGTTAATTGTCATCTTTCCCAGGCTCCTTTCGGCCGTGGTTTATAAACATGGATTTTACGGGATTATTTATCGTCTTTGCTGAAGTATGCACGATCATTTCAGCTGGAATCCGCGGAGCTAATGATCAAATTGAGAATGCTCATCGAGAAGGAGACTCTTACTTTTCAACCCGTGACGGTTCCAATCCACAAACCTGCAGAAAACTTGGAAAATGCGAGGTACATCTACAAAGAAACTTACTCAATAACAGTTGTCCCTCGACGTCGGTCCAGTTTTTTTCAAACTTTTTTTTTCGTGTATTCGGAAAAGTAGTGGATTTGACACGATCAATAATGAAAACCAGGATCGTGGTTAAAAATCTGTGGAATTCAATGCTGAACGTAAATTTATATGCTTATTAATTGTCAACTTGAATCTCATGTAACCGAACAATCATGTAATTTATGTATCTTTGAGCATTTTAAAAAACGAGCTCGACCTGAGGAAATGAGACTCTCGTAAATATATCTACCGGTAGTCATTCGGGAACCATATTTAATTTATAACAGCTTACAAACTGAATCAGCTAAAGAACTCGTCTCCTTTAATTCTCGATACGTGTTCTCTGAATTATTCCCTCCAGTTCACAAAACTTTGATGTTTGTACAACTGCCCCACTCTATTAATAATTAAATTGTATGTATTCAAAGAGCGGTTCATTCTGAAAATAGTTACCAGTTATCAAAATAGATGAGTGCTACATTAAACTCAGGCAGTCTTTCTTAAAGAAAAAATTTATACTCACAAACAGTTTATAAATGTTATTGGTCATGCAAAGACTTGAAATTGTTAATTTTTTTTAAAGTTAGTAGACATGAGGCTGTGAGGAGCTCAGTGGTCAACTTGTAGGAATACGTCAACTTCAAGATAAAATGTGCAATGGCATTGGGCCTTGATTCATGTGATTGAGCAAACTAATTTATCTATACTGTTCCATTGTGTTTAGACATAATTTTCTGTGTTTTTATTTTCAGGGCACTCCAGATAGGGCTCAGAACTGCTGGGGGTATGAGCCAGGGTGTACCTCAGCAGATAAATGGTACATCAAACCACAGTGCGATGACAACATGTCTGGCAGACATTTTAGAACGTAAGTTGATAAAAGATTCACATAGGTGCTCAGATAAAACACACCAGAGATCGCTCAAAATGTCTTAATTTGTTATTTTTTATCACCTTTATTAGAGAAATACTTAATCATTCCTTAACAAGTTTTGATCATTTGTTGGCATGAACAGGTTAACCATTTTACCTCCTAAGAGTGATTAACATCCAATTTTGCCATAAAAGATCATCCTTGAATCACACATTTAACTTATGAGAATAAAGGAATTGATCATGTGCACCATGCAACTAAAGGAGCTTCAATTGTTAGACAAATTCTTCTTGTCAGTACTGTTGTAAATGAGTAATGAACAGTATGGAGACTATACATACTGATGTTAGGGACTAAAAGGTAAATGCAGTAATATTTCAAGTCTTGAAACACCCTTAATTTTAGCATATCACTGTGTACCTGACTAACTCAAAAGCAATAAAGGGGGTAAGTTTTCTGAAAAAATCATGGTGCTGTGTTGGTGGGAGAATATAATGGTCGGAGCAATTTAGTATTATCAACTGAGTTGATAAAGTAAATTGGCCTCTATGAAGAGTTTCAAAGCTGACATTTCAAGTGTTAGCCCTTCTTCAGGGTGAATAGCGCAAAAGTAAGTTTGATGATCCATCTATTCTATTATCAATTTGCAGTTAGCATGTTAAGATCACATACAGTAATTATTATTAGCAACAGAAAGTTTGCATGGAAAGTAGAATATCTGTACCTTCAGTAATGATATGAAATTGATTCCTCATTTCAATTTGTTATGTTATGTATATGTTATAGGATTGAAGACAAAATTCACCAATTCTGGAAAGAAAGTGATTTTGGTTTTGTGAAATCTGTTCAGGACAGTCTACAATTGGTTTGTAAACCAAAGGAAATCCAGGTTAGAATCTGAAATTTTTCTTAAGGAGTTTTAGGGTGAGAGAGGGTATGCATGGAAAAATGATAACAGTGAAGTGTTGTATGATCAAGAAACATTTAGACATAATTTTGGCTAAATTGGTTAAGTCATCTGCAAATGGTGCCCAAAGTTTTGGCTGAGGCTTATAACTATAAAGCATCATCTGACTGTCTGGGTGCTCTTCATGATATCAAGCTCAGGATAATGATAACATTTATCCAACTCCAATCATCAGATAGACAGTATAACAAGCAGGTGATCAAATTCAAAAGATACCACCAATATTTGAGTTACAAACTCCTAATCAACACACACAACATACTCCAAGTCTCCAAAAGGATATGGCCAGAGGCTAACTGGAGATAAACATTCAACTTAATGGCTCATCTATTATTATTAACTTTCCAGGCAGATGCCTCATCTCTTGTTTGCTCCAAGCAGCTGACATACTGCAAAGCAAAGCATCTATTCATGGATTTCAGGAATATGCCAAATGGACAAAGGTACAGATTGAAGGAAGATCCGAGTAAAGATTCTGTTTGGGAATATATTCAATGTTATTTGTTGATGAAAAATTTTGAAAAACTGAAATGACTTAATAAATTTGTGATGACACCTATTTTTAGTGATATAATTAGATCAAAAGAAAATAGTCCATCAAACACACAACTGATTTTCCTTACAGAGAAAAACTGTTTAGCCATCAATTTTGGTCGACTGCAAGTGAGAGTAATAAGGCATAAAATGGCCTTATAATGCAATCATTTTTATAATAATAAAAAATTCAAAATTGACACTGTTCTGAGGATCATATTTTACATTTATTATGATCAAATTTGTTTCATGTATTAAAAAAAATTAATTCAAATGGAATTTGTGGGGAAAATTAGTTCCCTATTATCAGGTTCTTCCTTCACGATCATTGTTTGCTACTTATGTAATTAGACAACCCTCAACTTGTTATTATTGTGAGGTGGGATTTTTTTCAATTTTCCTTGGAGACATTATGACCCCAAGGCTTTAATTTTCACTATTCATTACATGAGAATGGTTGATATGAAAACAGTTTTAATTGTATAACAAACAGGAAGTTTGAAACTTGTAAGCAATTTACCTTTAGATGATACTCTTAGTGTTAATTTTGTTTTAAAATTGGAAAAAAATATAATTATATTATAAATAGTCTTACATTTGTACCATGATCAATTTACTTTCTTTTGTTGCTGTATAATAAAATGATGTTGTTGTTGATGACCACAATGCCTAGCACATCAAAGACAGATAAATTCAAGCCTCAGAAAATTGGTGGGTTTTGTGAAGTGGATGCTAGTGCCCTCAGTGAAGAAGGAAAATACAGAATGGAGCTTAGTTCATGGTAAAATCATATTTTTGATGATACATTGACTGCAAATTATGGACTATTCAACATACCTTATGGTGCTGTTCATCTGTATGTATAGTATTTGCATAATTTAGTTAATGTGAAAATAGAAAATTTAACCATTATTATCTTTTTTCTTTGTCAATGTATATATTATCATACAGTGAAGATGAATGGCATAAAGTAATAGAGAAAGTTTACTTTGAAATTAAGTTTGAACCTCACAGTTTGTTTCCTTTGTAGATTAAGTTAGTAATAAGCTTCACTATCTTTCCCTAATTCCTTGTGTTACTACTTTTTCCAGGTTAAATGAAGTAGAAGATTTCTCTTCCTTGTCCTTTAAACCAAACCAGGAGGAACACTGTGATATCCTGATGGAGAAACCTACTTTCTTCATGAAATTAGATGCAGGTTTGTTTATTTTCCATTTAACATCTGTAAAGCCTGGTTTATACTTAGGACACAATGTAACCATCGCAGAATGGTAGAAACAATCAAGAAATAATGAAGAGACCAGTTTTTTCTTTGTCATTGTGTCTCTCATGTATCACCTCTGTAATTAACATAAATTTAATATTAATTATTATTGAGTAGATTTTTTTTATTGCAGTTGTAAACATGTACCATCACTTCTGTGATTTTTTCAACTTGTATGTCACTCAGCATGTGAATGGATCGTTTGATACTGATGTCAATATTGTACTGTGGGAAAAGGTTTGAAAGATTCCAAAGTTGTTCATCATACTAGCAGAGTCCTGACCCCAAGTAGTCAAGAGATAGTGATTATTCTAAGTTTACTCCATCTAAGGATTAACAGTTTCACTAGGTTTTGGGTAATATTAATGCTAACAATTTCTTGGGGTCTTATTGTGGTGCAAGGCAACATGGAAGATTAAAGTGTAAGCAGTAATACAAACCATAGACTGAGCTTATTAAGTTGTACAGAAAGGCTTCTCCCCTTTACTACATGTGTTGTGATTGTGCAAACAAAACTTTCAAATACACATGCAGTATCTTTATGTTAATAGTAAAAAAAATAAGTGTTATGAGCCATACACAACATACTCAGAAAATAAAGCCCTTAGCACCTTCAATTTTTAAGGTCTGTTTAATGTGTTTTGGCCATCCACATTTAGGATCAGAATCACCAAACAAAAAAAAAAGATATTGTCTTTACAGCTTACAAATAAGTTTCCCTCCGTCTGATTGGCTTAATTGTTCTTCCAGATACAACAACATTTTAGATTAATTTTAAATATTTCCAGGGTTCACAGTTTTCTGGGTTTCAATGTAAACAGAAATATTCCAGAGTTCTCCTTATGTCCTACACCTCTTTTCTATCTCTTTTGTTGTCATCTGATTTTGTGAAATTGATTTTTTTATCAAGCATGCAAGAAGAAGTTTGGGGAACTTTGGAGTAACATGGAAAGTGTTTTCATCAAACCCTATTCTTTATCTTGGAAAGGAATATGAAAACAAGAGGGTAAATTTGTTGTTGTTTAATGTGCTACAACTATTGAAAGTTTACTGGAGTATTCTTGTCTCGCATATCTTTTAATATTAGTTTAATTTGTGTTTGTAGGTGTGTTTTAAAGAAGCCATCTTTGCCCTTCTGCCAAGAATGGTGTTTGGACTGTACTACAACACACCTCTGGTTAGTTTTCTTTCTTTTTCTGTTTGTTAATACTATATGTGATCATTTTAGGTTACACTGTAACTTACAATAGTCTATTTCATTGTTAAATGCCAAGCTTAAGCTTTTCAACCAAACAAGAGTTAGGCTGACATTTGCATTGTTTAGATAGGGCTGAGAGACTAGTTAGCCAATGATCTAGTGGCTCTACATTTTATTTTAATACAGAATCCTTTTTCACCATTTATCTACAAAAATGTTTTAATAGTCAGAGATCGTCTTTAATTTTTCCAGACTCCAGGTTGTTCCAAGAGTGGTCTTTTCAAAGCATTTTCTGAACATGTCATGGGAAGACTGGGCATTATCCAAGAGAGGAACTTGCAGGTGAAGATTGTGTTTTCCAATGTTTTTTTCCATTGCGGTATTGTTATGATTGTATATTTCTACCTATAAGCACAGGTGGCCTAAGCTCAAGTCTCAAGAAAAAGCAAACTATTAATCATGAAAGTGTCATGTATTGGCATTGGCAGCATTGTCATGCAGCTGTGGTTTCTAGCAATTTCTGTCATTTATTAAGCTTGCTTTTCCATCATTGTTATTCCTGTCAAAAGACAAAGTCAAACTTGACTTTGTCTTGTTGACATGTTCAGAAAATTCCATCATTGTTATTCCTGCTTGACTTCATCTTGCTTGACACGTTCAGAAAATTCCATCATTGTTATTCCTATCAAAAGACGAAGTCAAGCTTGACTTTGTCTTTGACAGGAATAACAGTGATGGTAAAGCAAGCTTAAAACAGCAGAAATTGTTGGAAACTACAACAGACACAGAGGATGTCTGTAAGTTTTATGTGTGAAATGTTCATATTTCGAAATATTTAGCATTGTAAATCTACCATATTTCATTCCCCATACTTCTCCTTATAGCATGTTCAAATTCTCAATGGTTCCTCTCGCAACTTAACACAATGCATGACACTTTCATGAATTAATTGCTGGCTTTTTCTCAAGATGTAAGCTGGGGTGGCCTGCGCTATAAGAGGCATTTTGCAACATACTTGTAATGTCTTAGTTAGTTTGTTTGGTTTTGTGCAGAATATTTTGCACTTTGATGAAGGAGTTATTTTTTTAAAATAACTGTGGTGCTACATCACTGGGTGAGTATAACAAGATAATTTGGTTAATGTAAACTGGCCACTTAAGATTTTATAAGCTGATGTTTCAAGTATTATTAGCTGTTTGTTAGAGCAAATGCCATGATAGGTAGATGCTCAAAACGTCAGCTTAGAGACTCTTTACAATGGCAAATTTATACTGTCAACTCAGTTAATGAAACCAAATTATCTTGTTATTTAACACTTTTCATTTACATGCCTTATCTTTCATTTACCATTATTAATTGCATGCTGAACTCCACTGATCATGTCATCATGATCAATGCTCAAGCCCTGAATGATCCACGTTTACATAACGATCTCAGGCCAGGCACTCTCACAGTGCATCTTTCCACCCAGGAGTATAACTGTGTAGTCACCAACCTAGTGTCATGGCTACCTGTGATGGACCAACAGCCAACTGGTAATACACTTCTGTCAGTGCTTCATACTTTAGAAGCTTCCTCAGTGATGAGGCACCAGGCTGATAAGACTTGCTCAGACCAACTATGTAACACTATTAAAATACACTTCAAGGTAACAGGATAAAGTCTTTTTATTTTCAGAACAGCAGTGAACCAATTCGTATAACGTTGCTATCCAGAGGGACAAAGTTTAGAAACATTTTAAATGAGAATGAGGTGACTTGAATTTGTTTTTCTTTCCTGTTGCATTTCTGGACTTTTATTACAATTAACTTAATTTTAAAAAAATTGAAATTAAATTTGTTGGAGGAGAGGTGAGAGTATTTGTTGGGGAAACATCAGGTTTTTGACAACTTACATGTACATGTATCATCAATTACGATGAGTGCAGAGGAAGCTGGTGATAAGGTTTTTATCCCAAGGGAAAGTATTCCTATGGATTTTGGGTTGCTATATGTACATCTATGTATGTCCTGCTATAAAAATGTTAAATATAAAATACACTCAGCAGCATTTTTGACCCCTCCCCCTCCCCTCCCTCCTTCCTCATTCTAGAAGAGGAGCTTAAAGAACTATCCCTTCCCTATTTCTGCCTTTTCATTTTCAGAAACTGACTTACTTATAGTGGTTGGACTCATTGACAGTCATTATGTGATGATAGATTTTATTTTTATTCAAAGCAGTTAATTTTTTTTGTTTTAGTATGCCTGCCTGAAAAAACAAATTATATCTTTCTCTCTTTTCCTTTTGTTGTCCAAATTGCATATTGGAGAGGGATGTAGCAAAAAGTTATTTTGGGGGTTATTAGTTAATGAGACAACATTTGCACCTTGACCCAGAGAGAAAAGAAATGTTGGCTCTGAAAGAATGTAATGTTCCCAAGTATTTTTTTAAATTTTGTTTGGCAGATTATTCATGCTTTGGATACATACCCTGGAGTGAAGCTGAATGTCTCACAATATTCTTGGTATTACTCAGTTGTGGAATTTTTTTGTGCTTTATATTTCTAATGATTTTATGGCTTCTCAATTCTTCAATTACACTGTAAAAATCTGCTCCTACTTATTAATAGCAGACAAGTGCAGATAATTACATAACAAGAGTATACCTCATCTTCTTACAAATTGTAGTTCTAACTTCCAGCTCCAAATTTAGAAAAGTATACCTTGTTTAGTGCAGATGGTAACGATGATCTTTGGAAGTTGAAACTGAAAGTGGAGGATGTTGTCCAATAAATGTAATGCAATCTATAAAATTTAACGTTGTCCAAGAAACTACTCTTTCTACCTAATAATCAATACATGAGCACCTTTATTCATCCATTTCTTTTCAGGGATATGCCGTTTGCTGAACAACTAAAAGTAAGTTTAATGTTTAATCGTGAACATCAATGGTGATCTCTTGGTTGGTTTGTTTGTTTCAATAACACATTTTTTGTACAGAAATTTAATTTCGTTTTCTGCATCTTTGTCATGAGAAGTTTTTCCTTCCTGAACAAATACCTAAAGCAACTTTCACTGTTTTACGATTTTTAATATAAATAATAGCTATAACGTTTTTACTCATGTTAAATTTTTTATGTATTTAGCGGAGCCATAACACAGATATATTTATTGGAATGCACGGTGCTGGTCTTTCTCATGCCCTCTTTCTCCCAGACTGGGCTAATCTCTTTGAGCTGTAAGTAATATGACGCATCTAAGGATGTTCAAAGGCTTTCTTGATTTCCTTTCTTTCCAGTAAGTGAGCTATGGTAATCTCTAGCTAGTACTTTTAGTATAGTTAGCATAGAATATTTCAGTGTTATTCATGAGGGTTTTTTTTCTCCCAAGTTACAACTGCGGTGATGTGAATTGTTATCGAGATTTAGCACGACTCAGGTACGTAAAGTTCCTTTTCACGTTTTTTCATTTGGGTTTCAATAATTCCCTGAAAATCTAAAGAGCACTAATTTGAACTTCAAATTGTTTCTCTCTGAAATATGTTTTTTCAGGGGAGTCTCTTACACTACTTGGGAAAACGAGGACAAAGTTGTTGAACACACTGAGGTAACAAGCATCTTCGATTTTTTAATTTTTATCCTTTGATGTCTGGTTTGCGGAATTATTTCCGTGCAAAGTGAATATTAGGCCTTCATTCTTCTCTGTATTCCATTCAACAGCTGAGATCAGACTTTTCTGGTGGAAACAGTTCTATTTCTTCCATTCTTAGAATGATTGTGGTGAATTCATAGCAGTAGGCGTAGAGCAGGAACGTACACTTACTAAAAAAAAAACCATATTTATTTATTTTGTATTTTTCAGGAACTACATCCACGGTATAGTGATCATCCCAAGTTTAGAAACTACGCATTTGATGTGCGTGAATTTATGAGGCTTGTGGAACGGACAGTGAAAAAAGTGAGACAATCTATAGATGAGTACACAAAGAAGCGTGGTAGCTGACATCAGGAAACTTTAATGAGCGTGAAGAAACAATGTTTCACTGGAGGCTAAAGCCCAGAGTGATGCAAACTTTACGTCACCAGATCGAGGACCCTCGACGTCAAAGAAAGTCCAGAATCCATCGCCGGGGAAAATCATTTAAGTCACAACTCAGTGTAAAACCTCTGAGATCCCCGTGCCTTAAAGGATGGTCTTAATTTCTGGTCTCGAGGGAAACCGTTGGTTTGTTTTCCTAAGGGTCAGAGCGAAATGAACATTGAGGCTCTCGAGAAAACAAAACTAACTACTCCCATCGAGACCGGATTTTAAGCTTAGAGGAATAGATCGAAAGATAGAAGGAGACAAATCTTAGCAGGTGAAGATAACTGCAAACGTGACAACTATGGCAGCTTTTGAGTCTCCATTATTTTTCGGTTGTTCATGCTCGACCAACTAACCGTGTCTCGGTTGGTTAAAGGTATCGACTGCCTTGACAATCACCAATTATGGTCTCGTGCTCGACAGTGAACGCTTTGCTCATCCAACATGATTACGCAAAACACCGAAGTTAGACCGCACACAGGTTCGTTCTTACTCCCAGTCAAATAAGGTATCTCTTAGTGGAATAAAGTATCTCCACTCATTTGCATTTCTTCTTCTTTTGGTTAGTTGTCTGAGAACACCTTCTGCTCCTACAAGCTTCATCGTTCATTATGCCAGCTTTACTAGACCATTCAAACAGAATGACATATATATGTAAACTGTCCATCGCTAAAGATGGATGTGTTATCTCTGACAAATTGCTGAATTTCACGGGCGAAGAGTGATTTGTGTATTACGATGATCCACATATTGATTTGAAAATATTCAGTGGTATCAAAGTCTACAGTGCATCTGTTTTTATGGGTTTGTAGCCTATACCAAAGCCCTGGTAAAAAAAAATGCGGGCGGAAACAGCGGAGTCAGGCCTGTATACCTCTCAAAACTACAACCGTCGTTCATACCTTCCATCCCTTAGTTTGTAATAAGCTGAGAAAATGTCGGCCCAGGCTCCACTGACCGATAAATCAAAGTTAATTTATTCCACCAAATTGTAACGCAATCCAACTCGGCCATCATGCGGTGAATCAATCTTGGTGGCGATCGAAATGCGGCTGGTTTGCTTAGCTTCAGCGCTTAGGTTTCGCTTTCAATCATGGGGATCATCTAGGGTACACCATGGGTCTATTGCGGCAATTGATTGCATCCTCTCACGGTGGAATTCTGGACATGTTCACGCAACAACGCCGCCAGTGTTTGATTCGAAAGTTGGATTCACGGACTACGAGAAAGAGCGGAGAGAATTTCGCATCAGAGTTCCAGAATACTTTAACTTTGCCAATGTTCTTGATGAATGGGCGCAAAAAGAGAAGGTTTGAACGAAAGTTACCGAGTTTTTAAAGATACCGAGTTATTGTTCTCTAATTCGTCTCGGTTGATCGTCTAATTTGTCAATGAATGTGAAAGTCAAAGTTCAACTGATTTGGTTGATCAGCGGCACACGAGGTGTAAACGTCTCAGCTTCAGTAACCATTTGTTTCAAATTGCTAATTTTTTTTTCATGAAAGCATTCAAGGTTGGAAATCTATGGCACGAGTTAAGTTTCTAGTGGCTCGATTCGACGGAAAACTTAGTTACAGCTTTCTACGGCAGGCTTAAAATGATTCATTTTCAGTTTTGAAATTCTCATGGTACACCGGTGCGTTTGAAAATGTAATCAACACAAAAACCTAGCTTCATATCTTAAAACAATAGATCCCGTAATGCGCGATCATTTTGCTTAATTTTGAATCAAAATGGGTGAAAATTCCGTTTTGTGGAGTTTACGTGACAGCATCATTGTCACGTAACTGTTTGCGTTCCATATAATCTCGAATTTACATGAGCATGAAAATTCACCTGTGTAAAAGAAAGATGATACGTCGCTCGCTATAAAACCTACCTTACAAACGCAGAACTATATGTCAAATGATATTCTAAAACTTCTTGAAGAAATTTTGTCCTTCTCACCTTTGCGAATGGTGAATTGTGGCAATCCAGTGCACTCCCTAAAACTCAATTTAATTTTCACAATTTTTTCGTAAACTTCATTATTTCTTAGACAGGAGAACGAACAGAAAATAACCCAGCCTTCTGGTGGGTCGACGATAAAGGAAAAGAAATAAAATGGTCATTCCAGAAACTTACAGAAAACAGCAGAAGGTGAATATTAAGAATGCATCACGTAGCCCGTAATTTTTGGTACTGAGACTTTATCAGTTGAGGGGGCAGCAAATTAAGTTGTGTTTCATACAGTGAAGAGCTGATCTCAGTAGATTTGTCATCGGCAGTTCTTATTTCCAAAACGTTTATGGTCTCCTTCAGTGAACTTGTGAAAGGATGTAGCTGCATGTATCTTCTCCTTTTATTTTCAAGAACTGCGAATATTCTAGCGGGTGCATGTGATGTCCAGAGGGGGGATCGTGTCATGGTCATTTTGCCGAGACTTCCAGAATGGTGGCTCATCAACATCGCTTGCCTACGGACAGGTATAAACTGGTAGTGATAATATATACTTTCAAAATCACAACATTTCGGATACCACCTAGATTTGTAGCACTATGCCTTATTCCCTTTGCTCTGTCTGTAAATTGAGGTTTCAATCAGGTGTACATACAGATCTTTCCCGTTTCTGTATATCTTCCGTTTTGAGGTGCACATACTTTAAATTTGGTCGCCTTTTATCAGCATTTGACATTTTGCAAATTAGCCATTGTAGCAGGACAATAAAGCATGAGAGTTGCAATCTTGCACGTTACCTTTGGTTTTTTCTTCTGTATTTTTTATTCTCACATCTCTTATGGACAAAGCACATGTCTTTCAAGTCCAAAGAATCCGATTATTTATTAGGTAATTTAGTGTTAACAACTGAGTTGAAAACGTAAATTGGCCACCGTTTTACTCTTTACGGTGGCCAATTTATGTTTTCAACTCAGTTGTTAACACTAAATTACCTGCTATGCTCTCCCACCGACGCAGCACCACAGTTTCTTTAGAAACTTACCCCTTTATTCAATTATTTATTAATTTCTCTTTAGTTTGTCAAGTAACGCTTATTGCGTGACATCTCAAGGTCTATGGAGAAGACCAGTTAGTGATATGTTGGGTTAATTTTTTTAAGGAACTATTATCAGTCCTGGATCAACTCAGTTACGAGCGAAAGACATCGAGTCACGGCTGCTGGCTTCTAAGGCGACTTGCATCATTGCAGACCAGGAAAGTGCTGCGTTCGTCGATGAGGTACATTATTGGAAGAGTTAGGTGTTTATGGCGGTTAGACTTAGTCGCAAAAAACAATCTTATATTTTGCTTTAAAAAATAAGATTACTGAAATGAATATTTTGCAAAAAGAGAGAGCTCTTTTTTTAAGCTCTCAAGGTAAAAAAAAACCAACTTTTTTTGCATATCATAAACCACTTACTGGTTAGAGGCGACAAAACGGAACCTGTTTCAACTTCTTGGCAGAGTCGTGTATGGTTACTTTGTTTCAAACTGTGCTGAAATTTAAAGCTCACATATGGTGTGAATAGTAAGATTATTCTTAACAAAGGCAGTAGGTTACTTCTCTAAGAGAGTCCGGATAGTCTGTGAAATTATGTTGAACTTGTATGCAGTTATCAGCAACTCGTCGGAAACAAAAGAGATATTAGGTGAATCTTGAAAGTCAAAAAAGTTTTTGAGGTCCTTGATGTTGAATGATAACATTGTGAATAAATGGTCGGTAGATGATCAACCAGAAACGACGTGGAACTGCATTCAATTTGTCTAATAAAATGTTGACAGCTTTTCTCTTTCATTGAAGGTTGCTAATTGTTCACCATATTTGAAATCTAAGTTACTCGTGAAAGAAGATGAAAAGACTCCAGACAGGTAAAGACAGTCCTTTCTTGGTGTCATTATATCAAATAATACTCAAGGGTTATATTGACTTAAGCATTTTTTTGTGTTTTAGGAGAGGGTGGCTTCCTTTCCAAGACCTCTACGCTCAGGCTTCAAATGAGCATCAAGTAAGTACTCTTATTTCCAACAATTTGTGGATATCAATATACTACGATACTATTTTTAGAGTTAGCTCTTCGATTTGGTGAAGATCCTGCCGTTTCATTTAATTATCTAGGCGAATTCTCTCTCTGTGTGAACACGAGATATTAGGTGTTGTTAAATGTTTTTTAGTGCGAAGAAACACTGAGTAACGAACCAGTGACAGTGTTTTTCACAAGTGGAACAACAGGACTCCCAAAGATGGCAGAGCACACACACGCTAGTTGTGGTTTGGGGCACATTACAACTGGAAAGTAAGTCTGATGTAGCGGTCAAGACTTATAGTTGCACATTATTGATTTCATCGTAACTTGCCGGGCACTGAAGACTTACGCTGGTTATTTCAAGGGGATTTTCTCAAGACCACTTCGCCTTTTTCTCACGTTTTCTTGTGGTTGGTAAGGTAACGAGATATGACGTCAAGAAGTGATATCAGGTTATCATTGAAGTCAATTTCATGTTTTCTTTATTATTTTTGTGGAAAATGATACGACAGGCACCCAAAGAGAAAAAGAAAAAGCTTAGAATGAAAAATGTTGAAATAAGATGTTTCCGTCTGTTAATGGCTAACTTTGAAAGCAAAATCCAAGAAAATGACTGTTAGTTAGCGTGTCCGTAGGTAAAGCAGTTTCATTTCATTTTAAAAGCAAACCTTCAGTGTTGTTCAAATTTCACTGACACTGTTTTAACACTCATGATTTATCGAGTAGCCTGTATTCGCTCAGTTCGAAATACTTTTGCTTCGCTACACAGATTTTGGTTGGACAATATTCCAGAGGATGTCCATTGGAACCTCTCTGACACGGGCTGGGCAAAATCTGCGTACAGCAGCTTTTTCGGCCCATGGTCTCAAGGTGCCTGCGTATTCGTGTACCATAAGGCACGTTTTGAGCCCGTATCTATATTAGATGCGCTGCAAAAGTACCCAATAAGCACGTTTTGCTCGGCCCCCACAGCCTATCGAATGATGATCCAAGAGGACCTTAGCAAATACAAGTTTCCGTCATTGAGGCACTGTATAAGCGCAGGAGAGCCTTTAAATCCTGAGGTCGGAACTGAGTGGCGAGAGATGACTGGGCTGGAGATAAGAGAAGGATATGGTCAAACTGAAACTGTAAGTTTAGTCAAACAAGAAGATGCGATCAATTTTCCTTACGTACACAAATGAATCCCCCTAGTAGGACTACGCTAACTTTACTTTCACAACAGTTTAGTCCTCAGTTAGGTACAAAAAATGGCATTTCCGATTATGTTTCTACAGTAAATCGGACGATATTTTTCTGGTGATGTTATTTGGCAGCAAACAGTATTAGGGACTGTCACTTCATATTAAGCGCGTTGGCACTCTAAGTAACTGGTTTGTACACAGTGTAAGAACATAGACGGTTAATCTTGACCTGAAAATAACCGTAATCTAACAAATTGGCGATTCTTTGATATATCAGAGGTCATATTTTCTAAATTTCGTTTTTTAACTTAAGACCCTGCTGTGCGGCACCTTTCGTTGCCTCGAAAATCGGCCGGGATCCATGGGTAAGCCCGCGCCAGGATGCAACTTAAAGGTTGGTGAATTTTCCAGTTATATTTGTCCTTTGAAGCAAGTTTTTCATTTGATACCGACGGGTGGTGTTAGTGGTTATGATGGGGATTGTTTTATTGTACAACATGTCCTTTTTGGCTCGATGTCAAGGAATCATTCTCAAACTTTGTGGCACCAAACCGCAAACTTTGGGGAAAAAGTTGAGTTCGAAGCATTGTAAACAGATGAATGCAAATTTGATAAGATATAAAAATTTTAAACGAATGCTGTAAAATTAAAAACGGGAATTAGTTATCTATTTATCTCCAGCTAACGGTCACTCATTTAGAGTTATTATTTGAGTTCATACGGCATAAAGAACGTAATAAGTCTAATTTTTTAGATTGTGGATGAACAAGGGAACGAATGCCCGGATGGAGTAGAAGGTGAAGTTGTTGTGGAAGTTTCATCAAACAGACCTGTGGGACTTTTTAATCGCTACGTGGTAATTTTCACATTTTCAATTTTACGTGTTTGTTTCTTTTCTAGCTTTTTATCCTTTTAAAAAAGTAACATGAAAAACAAAACAAAACAAAAACAGGCCCCCGTGCGACAGTGTTCTTCGCTGAGATAAACAATGTCGTTAATCCAGGAAAACGATTTAGGGCCTCTAATTTAATTTATTAACATAACCAGGTCATGTTAGAGAGCAAAAATCGACTGAAATACCATAAATTTAACACTCTAAAACGAATCAGACCTTCGGCTCAGGTGTTTTTTTTTTCTTATACAGGATGATCCTGATCGAACAAATGCTGTGTTGCATGATAATTTCTATTGGACTGGTAAATTAAAAATAATTGTAAATGTTAAATTTAAGTCCCTAGATCTAGAAATCTCAGTTTTTCCAAGCATGCATAATGTTCACCACATTCTTCGATAGTCTTCATGACTAAACTTAATAATGAAATTACGGCCGATGCTTTTTGATGAAATTTTATGAACCAGAGGCCTTTTCGACGTTTGATGTATAACCTCTGTAGTTTAGATCAATCCACTAAAACACCTTGGACCTTTAAAATATATATATATATAGCACTGAATTGAAATACATATTTAACAATCCCAACCCGCAAAATACCGACGCTAATCGAGGCGGAAGGAAAACAAACATTAAAATAAATTCTTCAATAACAAGTTGGACTGAACAGAGGAAATGACTAAGAGAGCATGCATACACACAAACAATGAAAAAAAACAGAACGAGCTGTAGCGTGATGATAGAAGACTTTGGATCTATCAAAGAGTTACCATACCTCTTAACCGTTCCTGTATTTTTCTCATCTTGAACATTATGCTTTAGGTGATAAAGCTTACAAAGACAAAGACGGCTACTTTTATTTTGTTGGTCGATCTGATGACGTCATACTCTCAGCGGGGTTGGTAGCTTAATGTGGTTTGAACATTTTATTTTTAATCAATAATAAATGTGTAAATAAATCAGTACGTGCATGAAAGGCATCTTTGTAACAGAGTAGAAACAATACGTAAACGAACGAGCAAATGAGTTAGGCACTTTTTGATTAAATAAGAAGAAGTGAGCCAAAATGTCACACTAAGCCTGATTGGGATTTGAACAAAGACTCAGAACAACCCCCAAGGTCAAGGTAATAGTAAAAAATAGAATCATCTCACTTTTAATTCAAACGCAAGTGAAACCAATTCATCTCCCGCGATCTGAAGGAAATCATAAGGTGTATCATTTGTGGAGCGTACCATTTGTTAACGTTCCTAAAAGCCCCATGAATATGATCAGAGATTGAAATAGAAATTTTTAATACCTGTGACAAAATAGCTCGTAGCTGGTATGACGCAGCTTTTTGTCTCGTCAAAGAAACTCATCAGATACCTTTCAGAGTTTCTAAGAACAATCGTTGAGCATCGCGCGCCATGTGCTGTTTACAAAGTTAAGATGTTATCACTCAGAACCCTCCATCGCAGAAGTAGTCCAAACCTTTTGCATACAAGTTACATTCACACGGTGGAAGATTGTCAAATACTCTTTAAAATTAGTCCACATTTATTTTGTTAAATATTTTTCTTTTTTTCCCTTGTGTACATTTTTCGTTTTCTTCTTGTTTATTTGTGTTTGTTTGAATTTTTAAGCTATCGAATTGGTCCATTCGAGGTTGAAAGCGCCTTGATAGAACACCAAGCAGTCGCAGAGGCAGCTGTTGTCAGTAGTCCCGATTCCCTAAGGGGGGAGGTGAGATGAGTGGACTTTGATAGGGAGGTACAAGGAGAAGTCCTTGTTTAAGTAACAAATATCTTAAAGGATGCTCACCAGCCGAGATGTACATTTGGACCCACTTACATAGGAGCCGTTATAAACTAAGATTAACATGAGGAACAGGTTATTATTTTAAAACTGAGTATCTTGGCAGACATTAAAACTGTGATGCTCTAAAATAAATTAAGCTTTGTGTTTTTCATATGTTATCCTTATGATACCGAGCTTACCAAATTGAAGCGTTTACTCGATGAAAACGTCTTCAAATAGTTTGCCCTAAAAAAAGCGGGTAACGTAAGCTTCTGGAAGGATTTAATTGATTAACTTCTATGTTCATTTTTTTTCGTTTGTGTATAGATTGTGAAAGCCTTTGTTACTCTCTCACCACATTTTACTGGAGACCGAGAAGCATTGGTCCAGGAATTACAAGACCACGTGAAAGAAACAACAGCACCGTACAAGTATCCGAGAAAGGTAACCTGTCGACGGTTAGATCGACCTTGGCTGAACAAGGAATGAACTAAAACGCTTGAGAAATTCCACTAGGAATGACGAACATGTGAAATGTTGAAATGCCTGTAAATTGCTAGTACGTTGTGGTAGGTCGCTGGAGAAATTATAAGCGTTGATTTTGGAGGTGGTAGATTTAAAGATTGAAGCAATGATTTTGAAAAAAGGCTTCGCCAAAAAAACATTTTGAATTAAAGAAAATAGACCTTTCCACAATGGCGTAAATGATTATTATCCTTTGATTCAAATTATGCATTTTAGCCCCCTGAGGCTCACTTTTACGCGAAAATCCTGTTGTTTTTAAAGTTGTCGAGGCCAGGAAGGCTAATATACATAAATGTAAGAGATTAGCATTCTATCCCGCTACTTGCATGTGAAAGAGGGGTGTACACTCTACTTTAGGAAACGAATCTTTTAATGTACTCATTTCCTGAATTACTTTGCAGATTGAGTTTGTGGATAGCTTACCCAAGACAGTCAGCGGCAAGATTAGAAGAGTAGAACTGAGACAGAAGGAATGGTCTTAAATGAAATATAATCAAACATAACTCACTATTTGTTACAAAAAAATTTATAGCATTATCCTTCGTAAGCATCTAATTTCTAACAACACACGGTAGATAATGACAATTGAAATGAGTAAAGTGCAGTTTGTACAAGTAATCACCTGATTTCCGAGGCCACCATATTTTGGTATGCTTTTGCGACACAGAAAAACCTGTCCTCTCTATAAAGAAACCGTAGTAAACTGTTTTCTACGACAGGCGTCGACAAACACAAAGGAGTACAACTGATTTGGAAAATAAAGCGTTTAAACAATTTTTAGCTATCATTATTATGCGTTACAATACATTAGCTGCTTCAGTGTAACTATAACAGTGCTCTCAGGAACTAAACAAGAAAAAGTTTTAAAAAATGACGGTATAATTTTCCTTTTTAATCCGATAAAATGAGATAGAAAGTCTCGGAGTAAACTTCTAACTTTTACTAAGAGATTCGTTTCTTTTTTTTTTTTAGGAAGTATTTACATTGGAAATCCTTCCTTTAATTGATGGAGTTGTTCCCCAATTTTCCTGGCCATGATTTAGAGCCGGTTAACTAGATTCGTCTTACACAACTATCAATTGGTTATAATAGGAGTTTTGTTCACTACGATAAAACATCTATCAAATAGAGAAATAGTAATTTTCATAGACAGTATTAATTACCGGTTAAAAGTTTTTTTTTTCTTAGTAGAAGCCAATACTTAGGAGTTTCGTCAAATAAGGCAAATTATCAATTTACTGTTAATAGTAATTTAATCGGAGATTACATTTGTTTTCTCTAGGGCCGGGTCACACTAGAGCTAATTTTGTTTGTGTAAATGTAAATCTATGAAAAAAGTAGCGTGAAATTAATACGTCCCCAGTTTCTATGTCTTCGTAAACCAGACGCAACCCCAAAAAAGTATTTTGCTACGACGAGGGGCTAATACTCGAAACGTCAGCTTTGAAACTCTTAACGGGAACCAAACTACCTGTTATACTCTCTCACCGACGCAGCTCCATAGTTTCTTTAGAAATTTTCCCCCTTCATCCACAAAAAGTCAGTTAGTACTGCACCGAAAAAACTAAAATTTCTATGTTTTTTGTCTGAGACTGAAAAACGAAGTCCCAGGAAGAAAACTACAAAGCCACGAAATAACGATTCTTTAATTCTCTGTAATTCGCGCGAGATGTTTTGGTTTATTCGGGCTCTAAAGAGCGAGATGGGTTTTCGATTGTCTCATCTACCCATCGGTCAAGTTTTGGTTGAAACTTATTTGATGCGACCACCACCAAAATTTGGAAAATTTAAAATTTTTGTCAATTTTTCTCCGCGAAACATTTGAAAAAAGTGGAATTCGTTCTCGTGCGACCCAGTCCTTACTTCGCTCATAAATATGTATAGAAACCTCGCACCACTTCCTTAACAAATAAGATGCAAATAATATTAAAAGGAATAACTCGCGGCGTTATTACTCGCATTTATCCGTGTTTCGGACAGTTCGCTTAATTTTACCTAATTTGAGGTTTCATTGGCTCCGTGGGTCGTTTTCCTTTGTCCTGATACTGTGGTTAGTTTGGTTCTGGTTCTACAACACTCGATATCACACCAAGTGTTTGTTTGTCTGTTTTGTTCGATATTTTCATCTTGCAAACGGCTGTTTCCGGATAAGCGTCATAATAAATGTTTTCTGACCGTGAGGTTTTTTGTCTTATTGTTCTTACCGACCAGATGTGTTTTGGTTGTTTTGGTTTGCGTAGGCCAATTCTCTCGATCGATTGCCAGTCGAGTATAGAATTGTAGTTGAAGGCTAAGGGTAACAAGAATGAGTGACAACTATATAAATACCTCAAAGTTCTTGTTATAAAACCTTTTTAGAGTTTATTAACAAAATGCTTCGGTACATCGCCAACTAGTGTAGTTAGATCAGCTTTTCCTGGCCCTTGCACTCAAACATATTGAATGGAAGAATCAATAACTGATCTTTGTCATCTCATCGGGGTATCCTTATTTATTCCAAAGAAGAATTGCTTTTGCCCTCAGCTGAATGGCTAGGTTTACTATACTAAGATTCTTCTATCATTTCATATATTGGTGTTTCGACAGCGAGCAACTTTCAGATAAGTGTAAGCAAGAGATTAGAACCTGTAATCTCTTGGTGTAACTGATTATTCTAGCTATATAACTACAACTTACAACTTCTGCTTGACTCCATTGAAGAGAAAGAAACTATTATTTGTGTGTCTTACTTTATGTACACTAAAAGAGGCCGAAATCATGGTAATTGTGAAGAGTAAATCCTGACTATTAAAGACGCGCATGCTTCCCTTTATGTGAAAGTCGTATATCTGGTATCCTTCCAAATTGAAACAAAATTTTACTCTTTAGAGATAAGATGTTTAAAGCCATGTTTCTAGGAGGAAAAAGGGGGGGAGGGCTGCTCTGTTGTTTTTAATTACGAGTCTCAAAAATATTTCCAACCCCCTAGGCTATGGAAAGCCTTGCGTTACTTGTCACACAACACCTAAATTTTGAATCATGTGATGTCGTGTTCTGGAGAATGTTGATGGGTCAAAAGCTACTATCACAACAACTACCAAGAGGAAAACCATTGTTTCCATTCCCTGTAGCTTTCCTTTTTGGTGAAAGGTTACACTAAAACCCTACAATTCCTACTAACTTTCCTTCCACTGGACTCCAAAGAGGTCACGCGAAACACATTGAAACTGCGATGTTCACAGCGGACACCACATTTGCTGGCGTGCGTAGCTCCGCCTAACGTTTTTCGCGGGTCGAAATCTGGCTTCGACAAGCCCGTTCAGGAAAGGTAAGGCTTTGCTTTGTTACTCTTTGACTATATCCTACCGTCATCGATACATTTTATTGACAGTTAATACACTGCCAGATTTCTCGTTGACCGCTTAATAGCGATCTTTGAATGTTTTGCTCGCGTCGTGCATCAATCGTAAATGTTTATCACTTCACGTGCCAACTGTAACCTTCAGGTTGCTGTGCTGTTATTTTCTTGGAGTTAAATGAAATCGGTTTGTTTTTTCGCGACAAGATGCCGAAATCTGTTCGTGCATATCAGAGGCGTTAACATTTAAGCCATCAGAGATTTAGATTTCGCCGCTAACACTGTTATTTATGGAGATCGCCTGAATAGGCTGTTGATAGTGTTTGTGTCAGGTGAAACTTAAGTAAAACGGCAGCGAAGCGTTGTCTTGATGAATGAAATCTCATTCGCAATTTTGACTAGAAAACTTCCTATTTCGTTTTCACAATGTTCAAGCTATGTAAAAAAGGTAGGACTGAATCGAACTCCATATTTCCCTGCCTTTGTCAGCATTTTCTACTTAATATGCAAATTAGACTATTCCAACTAAGGAAGGCATTTCAACATTTCGTTATGTGAAGCAAATTTGTTTATTACACAAAAGGGTTTCCAATTCCATATGGAAATTGAATTTGAGATTGAAATTTTTGCTAGGAAAAGAAATGAATTGATTGAAAACAAGTGCATATTTGTTTTTGAAGTTTTATCCCCATTGCAAGGTGGCTCCTACCACCTTTCTGAGTCTCTGACTGCAAGGAACATCCTCACAAATTAGACAATTTGGTGCTAATGATAGAAACCTTCTCTTGTTATAAAAGTAGACATTGGGCAAAGAAATATGCTCGCACATTTGTAGGCAAACATTAGCTGTTTACTAATTGGGGAAGCCAACAGTTTTCTGCAGTTGAAGGTTAAGGATAAACAAATGTCAGGGCATGTTTTCCCACCAGATTCAAGCTATTATTTTAGTCTCTTTCAAATATCTTTTATGGGGCAAAATGTTTATGAGCATCTTTTCATCAAAACATTCTTTATGTGCAATGTTAATTTTCTAAAATCTCTATTAGAATTTAAAGAACGAGCTTTTGCTTCTTCTAATATATATCTATACATATGGAGACACCAGAAAGCACACCCCAGATAAATTGCATTTCAAACAAGAATTTCATCAAATTGGAAACTAAGAAAGTTTTAAAATTGTAGAACATCACCTAAGCAGAAACAGCAGATATCCCCTGGTTTTAGTGGGGAAAATAGCCAAAACTAACACCGATTACTCACTAATGAAAACATTTAATGGGTTGCAGGTGAATGTTTTCCCAACACTTGAGTGCTGCATATTGTATTGTTATTGAGTATTTACTAGCCTGAAGTTAGTCAATTAATAATGGCAATAGGACTAAGTAGAGACCAATTCAGTCTTAAATCAAATGAGCGATTAGCAAAATTGTTAATTGTGAGTATGATTACAGACAGAATTGGATGACATGAAGTCCTGTTACCAATTAATCAAATCTATGACAAAATTTGATAAAAATACATTTTTATTAAAAAAAAAAAACAAAAGTCTCAAAGTATGAGACAACAATGCACACACATGACATGTTCTGTCCACTTACAGGCATGATATGTCAACTGTCCCATTAACTCTCCTGTTTCACTGTCCAATTACAAGCATTTCATATTGAGCTGGTGATAATCTATCTCATTCAAGAATTTTGTTATAGTTTTGATTAGGTCTAATCATGAGTGTGGAAAGCAGGCAGAATTGAATGATAAAAAGTCCTATTACCAATTAACCAAAACTATGACAAAATTTTTAGGAAAAATTAGACATCAGTGATGTGTTTTCATGAAAAAAAAAAAAAAACAGTTAACTCAGGAAAATGGATAACAACAGTGCCTGCACTTGATGCATACTGTCCACGCACATAGGCATGACATGTCAACTTTCCTATTACGCTGTCCAATTACAAGCATATATAAACTTTCCAATCAGTGCTCAAATTGGGCTCAGGATAACCAATCAAGTTCCAGAAATTTGTTATAGTGTTAATTAAGGCGGGTAATCAACCAAAACCGCTGGCTATCCTGCTATCATTATCTGAGTATTTTCACTCGTATTAACGTGATTGCTGATTAAAAAAAACTGCACAGTTATTGAGTTATTATTGAACTGCCATCAAAACAATACAAATAAACACATCCTAATTTTGAAGTGGAATGAAATGCACAATTTTCCATTAACAAGGTCAGATATGTAAATTGATACCACATTCAGAATTTGACTAAGGGTTTCTGAAGACTTCATGGGACAACTGGAAAATTTAGCTGAATAGTTTCCACTCCTTCACATAATCTGACAAATCAAAATGATGTCCACAGTAACTTGGCCTCCTACAGTTTTAAGTTACCTTCTAAATTCAAATTTATTGACAGCCAAAAGAAAAGGAAGAAATATAATTTTCATAAGGAATAATAACAATCAATAAGTGGCAACTAATAGAGGACCCTGGTCACAGTGATAGCAAGAACAATCTTATGTGTGAACTGTGAGAACCTTCACTTTTCAAAAACATTAGGTGATATTCTCTAAGAGCAGTCATGTCAAGTGATTTCACTTTGTCAGTGGTGCAGGATGGATGGACAGTTTGAACTTTTTTTTCTAAAGTTAGGATTACAGATAACACCTACCCCTCTGCTAAATCAGTATGAAATGCTTGAGCCACACTCTGTCTCCCTGAGAAGTGCCATGTAAGAAGTTACCTGAAGATTTGAGCTGCTTGAATTTTACAGCAAATAACAACATAGCAAAACTGACCAATTACCTAACAAGACTAACAGCACATAACTGACAGCAATTTTTCACTCAACTTTGATGATGACTTCCACTATGGTTGTTGAAACATCAGTCATCACTGTGGTCAATAGTCTATCTCAGTTCTATTCTTGCTCTGATGATCAGACTACTTGATCCAATATAATTGCCATTGATGTGGACCAAGTTTTTAAGTGTCTATAACAAACAGAAGAACAACTTAAAAGTAATCTGTTGTTGCAGGGTGTACTAGCTGATGGATTGTCCTGCCAATCATAGATACAGGTATCACAATTATGCCCCTTCTCCAAGGTTTCTTGGAAAAGAGTGGAAAGGGCAAAATCATGAGGCACGTTTACCTGGAGGACACCGGGGAAGGCATCAGCGTGGCCGAAGAGGAGCAGGAAACATGGCAAAACCAATGAATAGAGAGGACTTGTACCAATCTTATCCATCTCATGCACTTCTAAGAGGACGTGTAAATTCACAACAACAGAAAAATTCTCCACCTTCATGGCACCCAGGTAGATCAATGAATTATGGCCCACCTGACTCACCAGCCACTTTTTACCATCAAAGGAGCACCAGGGTGCATTCTAGAGGAGGTGGACACAGCCATCCACCTAAGGTGCACCCCAAGAGTTTCAGACCAGCCTGTGCAAGCTCCAAAGGTCTAATAAGTATTAAATGAATTGATACAGTGGCAGGGCTTAATGACAGGGGCACAAACGTGACTAGCTCTTTCAGTATTTACTTTTTTCAAAGTTTCCCAGAGCCAAATAGACCTCTGAAATAAATTCAGGATTATGTTCACATTTTCTGGGAAAAAAAAAACTGCAGGTTTTGTGTTCAAATTTTAAAGTAAAAAATTGACCTTTAAAAAATTTAGGGTTAAATTGGCAAACACTCCCTCTGGTGTTTGTCAATTTAAACTTGTCTGAAGTTGAGTGTCTTGGAAACTAAGGAATAGAAGAAAAAGGAAAATGCAAATATATTTCAGGGCGTGAAATTAATTTTTTTTTCTGATAGCCACTTGGCTCCTAAATTCTTCAAAGTGGTAGCCAATTCAAAAAAAAAGTTGGTCACCATTTTCAAAGACAAACAAAACCTTTTTTTACACTGTCAGCGTTCTAGAGAGACCCTCCAAAATTAAGTTAGGGGAAAGATCTTTAACGTGCTACAAAGTGGACACTAGGAGGGATGATATACAACTCTCAAGCTCACCTAAATTCAAGATGGCATCTAGTTATCGATCAAGATGCACGTGCTGTGTTTTGGAAACAAACTTAACGAGAAAGTTTGCTGCGGATTTATCTTTGCAAATCTTTTTAATTCATGATATCTCTTGGTAAGATTATGATGAAACATTCTAGTCGCCAATTTGGCAACTAATTTTCAGGATTTGGTCGCCAAAGGGAAAAATTTTGTCACATTGGTGCCTGTATTAGGCGCAATTTCATGCCCTGTATTTCTGTGAACAATATCTTATGTTGGTGTTCAATGTATAGCAATTATGTGCAAACACCTGATACATGCAAAGATGAAGCACTTTTACTCTCTATGAATTTTTCCTTTTACTGCATGAGTTGTTTATACATCATGGTTCTGTTAATTGCCATAAGTGTACCTTTAGTTGGCCCTGTTGCTGTATTAATTATTCTCCTATACTTCTGGCTAAAACAAAGCAATAAGCAAGTTAGTGGATGACATGCAGGTAAAAGTGTAAGGTAAAATTAAGAGGCAAATTTTTATAATCTCATAGTCTTAAACCTGTTCATTATGCTTAGAGTAACTCTAATCTCTAATTAATAAAATCCTGCTTGCACACTGCAGCTATATCTTAATTTTTTAAACAAGATATGGACGAACTAAATCAGGTTTAGTTTGTGTTGAATGCTCAAAAGAAAATTGTAATGAAGAAGTCATTGAACAATTCTTTGAAAGTAATTGTCATGCTCTATTTAATTACATCACTCAACTTCAATGTCATTCTTACAGGTGCATCTGTTTCAAATGAAAATGAATTGTCATCAACCACAGAAAGTCAACAAGTGGACAAAAATGTAACAGTCAGTGTTAAAAGTTCTTCAAGCCTGGCTAAACTGACGAACAACAGAGCACAAGCACAAAAGGATGGACAAACCACATCAACAAGTACCAGTGATAATCCACCATTGGAGAAGAAATCTGAAAACAAGAATCCATCGATCAACAAAGTTGCACCATTTATTCACAAACCATCACCTAACTCTTCTAAATTCATTGATGGCACAAATTCATCCTCATTGACTCTTAATAACCCTACCTCTGAAACAGCCTCAGAAGTAAAACATGAAGATCAAGTAAAACTGCATTGTGGCACAGAAGTGCCTCCTATGAATGTGACAGTTTCCAGTGTGTCTCAGATTATGACCAGTACTCCACCATGTCTTGCTTCTCAGGATGGCATGATGACCGTCTTTGCACCAACTTCTGATGGTCAAATGAAACCAATCATTAGGACAATTTGTAGCTGTCAATTAAAGAAGAGATCTTTGAAATATGCAGACAAAGGAAAAACAAAAAATGACTCCATTATCATAGACTCTGATGAAGAAGGGGATAACAAAAGCAAAGCAGCAAGTGGCTCTGTTAATGAGCAAGGTACTCCTTGATTTGAGTAAATTATGTGGTAATGGTAAATGTATTTTACAGGAATTTTTCTTCATAAAATTTGGTTAATTATTTCTATTTTAAATGATACTCTGTCTGCTTACTGTAATGATTTGATTTAGTGCCCAGGTGTTTATTTACTTTTGTTACCTCAAAAGAGAGTGCCTATTTGAGACAAAGCACTAGTTAGGGACAGGGCACTTATTTCTCTTTTTGAGAAACAGCACAGTGTGTGAAACAAAGCTTTGAAGTTTATTTTAAAAAATCAAGAAGACTGGAAAGGGACTTGGATCATTCCTGGCTAAAACAATTAGGCAAGCAATTGTCACAAGACAAGTTAAGACAAGGTCATTTGTTTGAAGGAACTGTGCCATCACATGGATATAATAGTCAAGAGAAGGAGACAAAGACTTCTGTCTTTCTAATAAGGCTTAATGTGAGAAAAGGAAGATAAACCACGATTTATATTAATTTCCATGTACTCTAACAATGCCATTACCTAAACAGAATAGGGGGACTTATTGGAATGAAAGTACTTACTTAATGTGGGTGCTTATTTGATTAGGGCGCTTATTAACAAAAAACAAAATTTGAGTTGGGTGCTTATTAGAGAAGGAGCACTTATTGAAGCAAGTGCACTAACTCATGTTATTATGGTAACTTCTGACTTAATCTGCTTCGTTTAAGTAAAGAAATATTATTTAACAAAAGTATTTTCAGCTCATAATCATTATAAAGAAAATTTTGGCCTGGGCCTTAATATAGATGTATTCACTTCAAGAAGGAAATGTCTCATGTAAATGTGATTATTTTATCTAGAGCATTATATTTGATCTCTGGTTTGGTTCCCCTTTGATAACTGTAAATTGTGTTGTTGTTTTTTTTTTTTTTTGTAATCTGTGTTGATTTGTTTGGAACCAGATGTAAGAGTACCACCAGAAAGCTGCCCCCTTATGAAGGACGCATCAAGTGAAATGGATCAACTGGTAAGTTATATAAGCAAGGGAATACCAGAGTTTATTATTGATGGTCTTTGAGCATGTAGAAGTTTGGAGTTTAGAGCAGAATGAGAGGATAATACAATTGAACTAATTTCATGTCTTTTTTTGTCAATACTTAAGGTGGATTTGGTAACTATACTAGTGTTTATTATTTGTGGTCTCCAAACTACTCAAGCCTATAGAAGTTTGGATTTTAGAGTAGAACAGGGGAATAAGACAACTAATTTCTATTTTCTTTTTTGTCTCTGTTTTGAACTCCTTGTTTTTTAGGCATTGCATTGGATGGGTTTGGTAACATTTCCTTCCAGTTCAAAGTTATCCAGTGCTCATTATTAGCAAACTTTTACCAAAGACCTTTTATAGAGTAAATGTATAATCAAATAATTCATTTTATTTGACATTAGTTATCAATTTTTTCCCCAGAGTTGTCAAGATACACCAAAAAAACGTATGAATACTACACTCATTAATTGCTTTTGTGAAGTTTGAATGTTGAGTAATTTTTTTGATACTAATAAAAAATATGATTTTTGTTCAAGAAGGAAGTGTTTTTCTTTTTTTATTTGCATGTCCATGGCTCAGCATTCACAAAGATTTTAATAATTGTCATTGTCTCTATTAGGTGCCAAAATGAGTACAGATTGTGCTTCAGTAAACAAGTGAGTGAAGTGAAATGTTATTAATCCTACAAAGGATGTATATATTGTATGCTCAAATATTGTACAGGCCTGAATTTTTTTTCAGGCCTTATTTTCACTACTGTTGAAGTAGTGTTCATGGCTGCAAAGATCACTTTCCTTCATTTCTTAATAGGTAGTTCACATATGTGATTTTCATATATTTACAGTCATTTATTCATCACTTCTTGGGTTTCTTACAAACCAACATAATGACCAGCTCCCAGTGGGCTTGTTAGATTAGTTGGTAGAGCACTGCACCAGTATTGCAGAGGTCATGGGTTCAAATGCCATACAGACCTGCATTGTTTTCAGGCCTCATTTTCACTACTGCTAAAGCAGTGTTCCATTCTAAGTTACAGGGCACAAATGAAAATGTTAGTGATACTTTCAAGATTGACAACTTCATATATTGTAAAATTTTATCAAAATTCTTTGTAGATGTTATATTTTTGCACTGTTGTGTGGGCATGTGGCAAGTTAATTTCAAAACTGAAACTTATTTTTTACAGAGTCACACAGTTTTCAGTGGCTGTTTTAAATATGCTGCCCCTTTTTTGAGAGTTGCTACTGGACGGTATAGTTTGGTTTTTGAATGGTGGTGATGGGATGAAACTGGTACATTGGGCTCAACTTATTTTAAAACTAAATTAAAGATTACATTTACATTGTAAGTGTGGTAAGTATCCTTCTTTGTGATCTACAGTTTGTCTCTGCACAATCAGTCAGCATCTTTGGTCAGTACCCAATCATCAAGTTCTGGCTGTCCAGTAACAGAGTCCATATCAGAAACAGCATCTAGGGTAGGGGACAGTATACAGAGAATGAATAATGGGGGTAAGTTTCTAAACAAACTGTATGCTTTGTCCATTGGGAATATAACAAGATTTGGATTGTATCAACATTTGGTTGTATCAACATAGCTGATAAATGAAAATTGGCCACCCTAAACAGTTTCTAGAACTGATGTTTGAAGTGTAGGCCCTTCACCAGAGTTACAAAAGTATTTTCAGCTGATAATGAGGGTGAAGATCTGAATATTTGATCAGAGCTTTAAAATGTATGTCTTAATTCAAGAGAAGAGACTGTGTTTTTGTAAATGAGATTAATTTATCCAAAGCATTACACGACATCTGATTCTCTGGTTTGTTTCCCCTTTGACACCTGTAAAAAGTTTTGGAATTTTTTTTTTATGTAATCTGTGTTGATTTGTTTGCAATAAGCTGCAAGAGTACCTCCAGAAAGCTGCCCCCATATGAAGGACTCAACAAGTGAAGTGGATCAACCAGTAAGTAAAATGATCAGAAATACATGTGACAGAGGTTCATGGTTTCCATATTGCTCAAGCTTAAAGAAGTTAGGAATTTAGTTGTTTTAGAAACACTTTACAATACAATAAGTGACTTAAAGCAGACAATGACCAGAATGAGAGGATGTGACAAATTAACTAATTTCTGCGTTTTCACTTTTGTTTTTCACTCCTTATGTTTTTAGCATTACACTGGGTGGGTTTGGAAACTTCTTGCACCAGTTTCAGTTTCAGTTCCAGCTAATTATTTACAAATGTTTAACAGAAACACCTTTCTGTACATCCTTTCCTTTATGAGGAAGTTCCAATATGATTGAAATAAAATAATCAGATAAATCATTTTATTTGACAAAAGTGATTCATTTCTTCTTTTTTTTTTTTTTTTTTAGAGTTGTCAAGATTCAACAAGAAAACGTAGGAATACTTTATTCATTTCTTACTTTTGTCAATTTTGAATGTTGAGTCAGTTTTGTTGGTGCTATTGAAAAGTATGGTTTTCATACCAGAAGGGAGTGCTTTTCGCAGGTAAACTGCGTGTTTTTCAGCGAAAACAGGGTTTGATTTACTGTCTTTGTCTTTGTTAGGAGCAAAAATGAGTACAGATAGTGCTTCGGGAGATAGGTGAGTTAAATTTGAACAATCCAACCCTAGGCTGTACAGATATTTACCTCAAGTTACAGTGAAAGATGTTGGTGATGCTGTGAAGAATGACAACTTTGAATATAGTGAACGTCTATCAAAGTTTTTTGTTAATAAAATGATATATTTGTACACTGTCGTATAGCCATGTGGCAAGGTTATTTCAAAAGTGAAACATTTTTTTACAAAGAGTCACACCTCGGTTTTTGAGTGGCTGTTTTCAATATGCTGCTATATTTGTGCGTATTTACAAGACACTTTAATCTCCCTGATCATTCTAAGCTGCATATGACAGTCTGCGGCCCTATCTTACCTCTAGGCAGTTTGAAAAGCTGCAAAATTCTCGAATGAAAATTTACCTTTTAAATAGGCACTCCTAATCCCCACGATATCAACGAATGCTTTTCGTGAAACTAATTTATTCTTATTTATTCTCGTTAACATGTTCCCACTAATAGCGTAGCTCCATTTTCTGCATATAAACACGCACACAACCCACAATTCCTCCATTCTTCCATCAGCATAGTAACTCTTACCGGTGAACAATTCACATGACCAACTCAGTTGATTTGACCAAATTATCTTGTTATACTCCGCCACCGACGTAACACCACAGTTTCCTTAGAAACTAACCCCCTTTACGCTATTTACATAGTTTGGTAAAATCGAAACTTGTTCAGTGAGCTTCACGTGTTGTAAAACTAGATTGAAGATTGCGTTTACAATGTAGGTGTGGCAAATATCTATCTTTGTGATCTACAGGTAATTTAGTGTTAACAACTGGGTTGAAAACGTAAATTAGCCACTGTAAAGGGTAAAAAAGCTGACGTTTCGAGAGTTAGCCCTTTGTCAGAGCGATTATTCGTCAATCCAATCGCTCTGACGAAGGGCTAACGCTCGAAACGTCAGCTTTTTTACCCTTTACGGTGGCTAATTTTCGTTTTCAACCCAGTTGTTAACACTAAATTACCTGCTATACTCTCCCACCGACGCAGCACCACAGTTTCTTTAGAAACTTACCCCTTTATTCATTTGTGATCGACAGTTTGTCTCTGCACAATCAGTCTGCACCTGTGGTCAGTACCCAAGCATCAAGTCCTAGCTGTCCAGCAAAAGAGTCCATAACAGAAACAGTATCCAGGGTAATTGACAGTTTAGGGCATAGTCTGGGTGATGTCTGTAGCAGCAGTACCTCATCAGACTCACTATCTCTAGTTACTGCAAACTTAACAGGTATAGTTGACAATTATTCTTTCATATTCCTTCCGTATCTCCATGTAGCAAGCGAGCAGGAAGAAAAATATTTCAGAGAGATATCTCAAAATTTTAACTAGTGCAGGCTACTAGGCTCTTTTCGCTGATTTGTAGACCATTCGTAATTGTGGTTCACAGTGTTTCGGCTTAGATACCATGGCTTATAAACTAATTAAAAGTTCAGGAACTGAAGTTTTCCCTTTTTTTTTTTTTCTTCAATATTTTTTTAACTAACGATTATCTATTATTTTACTCTTCATTCTAAGATAACGGTCAGCTTCTAGGTGATCCGCAGATCTTACGGGGAATATTGAGTGTATGTAAAGAAACGGCAAGGTAAGACAAACTGGACCTTTTTCAGATTATAACTCATCCATTTTGATACCTTTCTGTCCTTATATGATTTTACCATTTTCAAAGTACCGAAGGGCATTAAAAAATTCTTTGTTGATAGAAATCTTTAGTTTAACTTAATTATGGGAGGGGCTAATGTAATTACTCGCATTAGGTTTTAAGTATTGTATGGTAAAGAATACACCTCGGTATGCACTGACTAAACCAAGTTAGAGTTATGTATATTGTAGTATGCTGAGCGTTTCAGTTTTCGATTTATTGTTGTTGTCAATTTAAAAATGAATATAATTCTCCCTTTTCAGACCACTGAAGAAGTTCAAGTCGTCTCCAAGAAATTTGTACACCGCAGCGAAAGACTGTAATATCCAAAAAGTTATTGCTCTCTTGGGTAACTATCAGTATCAAATCATCCTCTACTTAAGGGCTTACGAAAAAGTCACAAGTTCTATCTTGTTTGTGATTCCTAATACTTAGAGTGTTCCTGAGTTAGAGTAACTGGATAAAGGTCAGAACGTCCTAGTTAACACCGAGAACCACTTCCTTTCTATCCTTCAGTCGCGGGGTGTGATCCTAACCAACAACTGATGAAAGCCAAAGGAAAGACAGCGTTGCATGCAGCTGCTGCGGGAGGTTACGTCGACATAATTGCTTGCCTGAGACTGGTAAAAGAATAAGAATACTACCGATATTTTCTTCCCATAGGAAAAGGGTCATTCTTATGGAACTGGGAATTGTTTTCAAAAAAGTTTAAACAGTACGTAGATCTGAAGCTCAACGTCACAGACTAAGATTAATTATACGTACTGTGAGTTAATACAAAGTTTACTGAGCTTCTCTCTGGCGCACCAGCTTGATCAATTGTGAAAGATTCAAAAGAAAAATATTTAGTTTGATTGCCAGGAAGATGTTCTCTAATATCACCAGCTGCTAGAAGGACTCTATGTCGAGTGAGTTCTGGTGGTGTAAGGAAGAATCAATTTCTTGCCTCTATATCTTTTAATGATGACTGAAGTTTGTCTTTTTTTTTAAATTGTTTTATAGGCGGGATGCGACTTAAATCTTGTAGACTATGAAAATAGAACCCCAATTGTAAGTAGCTAACATTGCTTTCTCTCTTTTGAATTTCAACTAATGGCAAAAAAATTGATTAAAACAAAGAAGACAAAAAAGAAGCAAAATTGAGCGTTTTCTATTGTAGCAGCTTCCACTTGTCTGCAGACCATAATACTTGAAAGAGTTAATTTTATTTAGCATGTAAGGATACTTTCCTCTATGTAATTGTTGTAAGCTTTTTTACTTCCAAGTTTTTTAATCGAACAAATCTTCTTTCTCTGTGATAGTTTGATGCTGTTAGTAACCACAAAGTGAAAGCCATCGAATACCTTATTGATTGCGGTGCAGTCTTAGGAACCAAGGTAGGACTGGGAATGTATAGCAGCCAGATAACAGAACAACGACTCAAATGTTTCCAATCCCAGCGCCATTACAAACTGCTTGTGGTGTTGGCCATAATTCCACTTGTGTTTATTTTTAGGATACTAAAGGTATGACATGTCTTCATTTGGCTGCCCGACAGGGGCACCCGGACCTGATAAAATTACTACTCAATACAGGAAAATTTGATATGAACGAAAAGGTGAGGAATGTTTGAGCAATGTTAAATTAATTTTTTTGTAAGAATATGGTTATTTTATGTAAGGGGGTGGGGGAGGTGGGAGATTTATGATTGAAACTCTTCTTCTGACAAGGAAATAAAGAATTAACATCATAATTGAAAGCGTGAATAACTTTGATCTCAGTAGACGAATCCATTCACCTGACATTTTGTAAAATTGGAAACTGAAACTCGCACAGATTCCAACCTGAAAGGTGATAGGTTGTACCCTGCAAGAGAGGCATGCTCGATTTTTCCAAATGAACTGGATTTATTCAAGTTGACTGCCTTTTTCGGATTCAGCAGTTGCATCAGCGATAAGGTGGCGTAATATTAAGGGTGATGAAGTTTGGAACACGGCCCTAGGGCTGGTTCACCATGGTGTGTTCTCATAATAATAATGATAATAATAATTTATTACTTATTAGGCGCAAATTAACATCTGAATATGATTAAATGTGCCTTACAACACTTTGCGGGGGACTTTGGTCAGACTGCATTGAGCAGCTTACAATTTTTTTGAAGGAGATTTAGGAGATGCCCCCGATTTCAGAATCTAGGGCAGACCACAACACCGGGAACTACGTCCCCTACTCCTTGAGATAAGTGTGTGGGTTCTTTAACGTTCCCGACCTCCCGCACAGTAGTCCGGCGCTCATCCACGTGAGCTAACCAGGCGGCGGTTTCTTAGGCAAGAGAATTACTCTCATAGACCCTCTTTCCACTCAGGAGTACAATTTTTTACTGGCGAATTGTAAGGGAAAGTTGCCGTGTTGCTCAAGGGCAACCATACTGTGATGGACTCGATACCCATCAATGGGGTGCAAAAATGGTGCTATTCGCTTTCGGCTACAGTAACCAGGATAAAGTCTTGCAACAGCAGATCACCTTCGCGTGAACTTGCGAAGTACGTTTAACCAGAAAGATATACTTTGAACCTTTTATGTCGGTGTCCTGAGGCGCTAAACTTACTACTGGACCAACTGATTAAGCTCATATTGGCAGAGGCCGGTGGTTAATAGACTTGTTTCCATGCCACACTCAACAGGATGACGGAGGATGGACTCCTATTATGTGGGCAGCTGAAGACAAACATCGTGATGCTACTCAGCTTTTGATTGAACAGGGCGCTAATGTCCACATTAGAGATGAAGTAAGAAAACCTCAAAAACATTGAATTCCTTTTAAGATTTATAGATAACTTGTCGCTAGAGTCGCATATCGATACTTCGGAGGCACAGTGAGGTCATTAAGAATCTTAACGCTTTTTTTTTTTCTATTTTGTTTTGCTATTTCATTTAGAAAAAATCGTCTAGCGCGGGTCGTCATTTATGTAAATGTTTATTTAATTTGGCAATACACTTCATAAAACAACTACTGCTTACCGTGTTAAAAGGACGGTTGATTATTCCTTAAGGGATGACCATCTGTTGAAAAGATTCGTTAACTCTTTACACTTTAATATCAGTCTGCAAGTTCTCCCTACTGTTCTCTATACATTTCCTATGTTACTTAAAAGGAGAATTTGTCCAACAATCAAGAGCTTTTTGAGTTTGTGATCATTTCCTTTATTCTCATGACCTTAATGTTTGATTCAAGGGTGGTACTGTTGAAAGAAATTTGATGCTTATCACTCTCAGGGGTTAAAGGGTTAAATTTCTTCAGTGAATTTCTTCTTTTTTTTTCCCCGATTCCACCAATGTTTACTTTTGGTTCTTTAATTTGCAAAGTTCTCCCTTGCCAACTTTGAGATCAACGTCCCCTTTATATGACCAAGACATCGTATCATTTCCCTTAGGAGCTTAACACTCCCCTTCATTGGGCAGCGTTGTCCGGAAATCTCGAAGTGTGCAGACTTCTTTTAGAGGCTCATGCCGATATAAACAGTTTGAATATATTCAAGGAGACATCTCTGTAAGTAATGAGTGTAGTTATTGTACTTTGGGTAAACAGCTACTTTGTGCACCTTATTAATGTTCCAAAGCTGGTGTGATAAGCTATGAGTTGTAAGCAACTGCAAGTGTATATTGAGATGAAAAGAACGATCCACCGCTAACACCAACTTAAAGCCATTTTGCTCGAAGAGCTTTTTCTTGTCAGTTACCTTAATTTTTCTTAAAGACCCCAGTCGTAGTGTTTCTCTTTTCCTTGGCATTTCGAGGTTGCAGCGAAAAACTGCACTTGAAACTTTAGTCAGTTTAGTATGATTAACATTTTTTTGGGTAAAAACATCACAGTTGAATTGATAATGTCTTGCCTTGGTGGTTTCGTTTCAGACATATTGCTGCGAGAGAAGATTGCTACAACTGTGTGCAGTGAGTATGATATTTTTTGATATGACTATACAATCCAGAAAACTAGTGCCATTGTGACACTGATGAAATCTTTTGTTTACTGAAGTGAATCGGCTCTGAGTTAAGAATAAAAGCGACAGATCAAGTATAGTTTAAGCTCTCATGATCAGTATCTTGTTAGTGAGGAGTACCAACCTATTGATGTCAAAATTGTGCTAGGTTGTTAGTCAGTCGGGGAGCAAACATTTACATCAAGAACAAAGACGGCCAGACACCTCTCACGGTACGATAGTGTTGTTGTATTTTTGTAAAAATTCATTCTGTTGTCGTAAGTCCAAGTCATGAATGATCTAAAATTATCGATCCAGTATTACCTAGAGATCGAGTCCTTCATGAGGTGCTAATGGAATATTATCGGGAAACGCCTAAATTTTGCAGGTTGCCAAACCTGATACGAAAAGTAAAAACTTGTTGCATTCAAAAGTCGAGTTGGAATCATGTCAGGAATTTATAAGACCGCGGATCCTTCACAGGTACTACAAATTTCTTTACTTTCTCGACCTTACCTATAATTTCCTAGTATTGTTACTTAACATGTTCATGTATGTACACCTTATTTGATGGTTTAACATGTTTTGCGTTAATGAACAAAATGTCCGCTCGTATGGTATGCGAAATCATGAAACTAGAAATTCAGATGATTTTATTGCGAAAGACTGACGTTGTTAGTTTGTGTCGTTGGTGACTAACGCCAAGGTCAGTCGTGTGCTAGTAAGGACGTAAGTAAAGAAGCAAGAGCACCGAATATGCATGAACATTTTTTAATTACCGCTTTTTTTTGTTCTGATTTCATTAATAGTGATATTTCCCGTGGGCAAGAAAATGTTTCAATATCTTGTATTAACGAGGTGGGTATGCCCTTGTATTTGTAAATTATAACTTGGGATAAGTCTCAGTGTAACTTGTTGTGATCAGATCGCACACCTTGGGTCACTTTTTAAAGTCGAGTTTATTTTTTTCTTGTCCTTCGTGCTCGCTGGTCTTTTTTTGGGAGGGTTCTGTGTGTCGTACGCTTTTCCTCCGTGCGTAAATTCCAGTCAAAAAAGGAATCATAAGAGGAAGACATGTCATTTAAATATTCAAGGCGGTGAAGCCGCGTTTTTCCAGCACCTGGTTATTTATTGTTTGACGTACTCTAATCGTTATCTTAGAGTCCAAAAATATCGACAAATAGCTAGGTAATAGGGTAAATAATGTCTCCGTATCGAGTGGTTGTGACATGAAGCATTTTTCATCGCGCAATTCGCTTTCGTCTTGGAAGTACTTAAAGTGTCGAAAAGGTCTGCAGGAGAAACCTAAAGGCTAGTGAATGCGATTCTTGTCAAGCTAAATGCATCAACATGAAGACTTATGAATACTGTGGACTAGGTGACGAATCTGTGACTCTGACTCGAATCTGTTTTTACCTTAAATCAGGTTGACGACGTACCATTTCCGGACTTCACATTTGTCAAAGAATCCTTTGAAATTTACAACGGGACGATAAACTGGAGTATTTCAAAATTTGAGGTATGTTGAGGTAGAAGGAAAAAAGACGTTCGTTGTATCTTATAATTCTGTGATGTTCTGAAGAAATATTCGTATTCTGTAGGGATGTGCTTGTGACGGTGACTGTCGCAGTGGAAGAGCGTGTAGGTGCTCTGAGAGGAGCGAACGGCAGAGAATATGGTACAACGAGGTAAATCGATACAACCTTCCATGTTGTTATTTTGTGGGCGCTCTTAGTGCAACTTCCTGGGGAAAGTCGCCCAGGAACTGAAATCATGAATGGAAAGTTTACCTTACGTGCTTAATGTCGTTTGAATACCTTAAGAATATGCATGACTTAGTATAGCAAGTTTGTTATTAAGGCAATGGAAAGGAAAAGATACGGCTGTGTTAAGGATTTAGCAAAGTCTGAAACTTTCAAATATACTTCAGTTGAATGATTCTGTGGGAAAAATGGTCGAGAGAACTTCCTGCTAAACGTGTAGCTGACAACACCATATTACAGTGGCCTAGTTTATACGGAAACCTCCCTTCCTTCGTTCTTAACGTAATTAGTGAATGCAAAAACTATGGAAGTATAATAAATCTGCAATTCGTTTGCTCTCCATTTGTTATAGGAAGGTTTGTTAAAAGGCGACCTGCAGAAGTACGACAGGCCACTCGTGTTTGAGTGTAACAGAATGTGCAATTGCTGGTCGTACTGTAGAAACAGAGTGGTACAGAAAGGAATGCAGTATCCATTACAACTGTACAGAACATACAGAAAAGGTTACCTGAATAAAACTACTAATGAAACCTAAAAAGAGAGTGGGAAACAAAATACGTCAAGGACTTTAAACGAATATTTCATAAAACGTCTTAAGTGACGACTGCAACTTTAGAATCAGTTGAAATTGTACCAAGAGTAATATCCGACTGAGTATCCTACTCAACTAACTGCAGATAAAAATTTTTCCCTATCGATGTTAGCCGAGGGATATGCTCCAGTAACAGATTTTTGCGAGCTTATTTAGTCTCGTTTTACTTTTTCCGTTGAATGCAAAACTTATTTTGGCTTTTATTGTATGTTTATTGTAGGTTGGGGTGTCAGAAGCCTTGCCGAAATTCCGCAGGGAAGTTTTGTTTGTGAATACACTGGTGAATTAATTTCTGACACTGAGGCGGATGCGCGAGATGATGACGACTATCTTTTTGACTTAGATTGTAAGGTATGGACAAAGCCTGCTGCAAAAAGTACTTTGTTTCGATTGAATATTACTCTTTTGGGTGGCGAGACCCACACGATCTAGTTTTGTCAGTCACCTAACGAGACCAAAGCATTGGTTGTCACGTAAATATTTGTTAGACTAGGGATATGGTTTAGCAGTTCTTTCTATGGATAATCGCCTTAGGTGTGGCGCTTTAAATGGCCGAGTTACGTCATATGTTAATTTGTTTCTTTTTTCAGGAGAATGCTCACGAATTGTTTTGCATTGATGCTAAGCATTATGGTAATATCAGCAGATTTATCAATCACTCGTGCGAACCAAACGTCTTCCCGATACGAGTTTTCATTCATCATCGGGTTAGTGCTGCTGACCATTTAATGTCCCACGGCTGAAGTAGTGAATGCAGTTGACATGGACAGAACCGTGTTCACAGTGATATATGTAGGAATAATTATGTATTCCTACCCCCTACGTCCTACTTCCTGCATGTATCTTTACCATTGAAAGAAAGCGTAGCACATTTTAAAGGGGCTTTGAGCTAGTGAAAACTCTTGGTTAATATAGAAGACCAAACAAGGCCGCTCGGGAACAAAAATGATCGACTATTGCTGATATCAAGTTCTTATTCTATAATATATTGTTCCTTAATAAAGATTTATTTCAACTTTGAGTATGTTTGTAGATTTAAGAAGACTAAGAAACTTGCATGTTCTAGGTCAGCTTTGATGATTCTCTAGTCGGCGATGAAAATAATGAAGTTAACTCTTTGTAAATACCTTTAAGATATTCTCATTTTAAGGTCGTAATTTTGAAAATTAAATCTACGTTTATTTTAGGACGTTAGATTTCCAAGGATTGCCTTTTTCGCAACAAAAGAAATTAATGTACACGACGAGATATGGTGAGTACGTCGTCGCATGATATTTCAATTACCATTATTTTAGAAAGATCTGTGGTTTTTAAAGAAATCTCCTCAAAGTTTTGCATGTCTTCCGCAGTGACGCATCTTACAGTGACGTTCTAACTGTAGTGCTATCAATATGACCACGTGGTCGGCTGCTTTCACTTCATTTCAAAGTGATTGCTGATGAAATCGTACAATTTTGATTGAAACACAATTTAGCAAACGTATATAGCAGCAATTTCCCAGGTGTGAGTGGAGGTAAATGTTTGATTTACCGTTAGGCGGGTTTAAATGTGTGAAGCGATTCTGCATCTAGAATTTGCTCGAGGGCTCGTGCGGACTTCGTGGAACGCTTGGGAAATTTTAAATGAATAGTTCCCAGTATAACATGTAATCTGACGAAATGAGATGGCGTCTGCGATAACCTGGATGCCAAGTATATGTTTTTAGTCTCAAACGTTTTGGCAGCCCTTTATTAATCAATTCTGCATCTAGAATTTGCTCGAGGGCTCGTGCGGACTTCGTGGAACGCTTGGGAAATTTTAAATGAACAGTTCCCTGTAGAACATGTAATCTGACGAACTAAGATGGCGTCTGCGATAACCTGGATGCCAAGTATATGGTTTTAGTCTCAAACGTTTTGGCAGCCCTTTATTTATGGCTTTTTCTTCTGAATCAGGAAGATAGGCAATTTGCTGTGAAGCTGATGGTAATTTTAAGTTTCCTTATTTTTCAGCTTTAACTACGGGGATAGATTCTGGTCGGTAAAACGGAAAGAGTTTTTCTGTGAATGCGACACTCCAAGCTGCAAGTATCGCGATCGTAACAGATAACCTTTCTTGTTCTCTGAACACAATTCTTTTTTGCCATCTTCCTTATGTTGTCTTCATCATAATGATACAATCCGTTTCATTTTCGTTTTAAAAAATAACGTTTCAGGCTCTGCATTATTTTTATATGTCAATACTGTGCTTCCAGATTGTAAGGTTTGCTTTTTATGCCATGTTACCAAGCAACCGCTCGGATATTTTTTAGAAAACCTTGGATTTTAAATGTTTGAAGTGTTTAGTAGTTTTTAAATCTTGTAAGGGCAACCTCTATTAGTTCTTTTACCTCTAAGCTCTGAATATCGATTCTCTGCCATGTCAGCCATGTATTTCTTAATATTTAAGATCTAATAATTTGTTGTTCAATCGAACAGCACTCCTAGGTTTTTTCTTTTCGTCACCCTTCCACTTGAAAATATATCGATATTTTTATGGATCAATACCTTTTTGTCTATTTGGTCAGCGGCTCTCTTGTACGTGGAAAACTTCCTCATTCATATGGGTTTTTGTGACTTAAAGCAAAATTGAAAGCATTAATACAAAATGTACATCAGTACATTTAAAGTACGTATTAATTTGAAATGTTTTTAAGTCACTGTTTTTTAACCAAGCCATCTTTTTTTTTTTTAGTATTTCATTAATCGGATCAGATATATTAACCATTAGTCTTAGCGGTAATTCATCGTGAACAAAATGTAACATTAAGATTTGACATGTAAAAAGTTGCCAGCCGTACTGTGATTTAGCATTATATTACAAAACTTACCCGTAAGGCGAGTGAAAGGTTTGATTTTGGGATTTAATACATTAAGTTTCTATATATATTTATAACAACGACTATGCCTGATAACATTCAACATTCCAAGAGAGTTGATAACTTTTATCCATCTACAATCTATATATTTTATTGGCTTATCTGTGTTGCTAGGATCCCTTATCATTTATTTTGCATCCAGTACTTTTGTGTCTCCGTTGTGTTCCTTGATGCGGGTTCGAGTGGTATTGGCATAAGGCAACTTAATAACCTCATCCTAACTTGTATTGGAAAGATTGGAAAGGTTACCGAAACAGTACGATATGCGAGAAACTGCATGCACAACTAAACTTTATAATCATGTGGAACGTTGTGACAGTTTTTTCGGTCTGGATTTCTACTTTCTTTTGTGGAATACGTCCACCTTTCTTTAGCTCTATCTTAAGAATATTCAAGGTATAGAGTGTTTTGCCTTTTACGTGGGCGTAATCTGAAATAAATGTATTTTATCCAATTGTGTCTTGTTTGATTTGGTGCGAAGATGGTGGTGCAATCCATCGTTTTTTATTCACTTCTTTTTTTCTCTGTACTGAAATATCTCTCCTGCATTTTTCGCAGCCAATCGGCACGCGAAAACGTTTTCATATTTATATGTAGTTACTTGAGTACAAGTAAAATGACAAATAAAACCGAAGGTGAACGTACATCAGAAAAACAGAACCGATTGTTATTGGCTCCAATGTAGATTAGATAGCCTATTCGATAACTGCTGGGTGGTGAACATGAACTAGTGGTCGCTTAGAGTCGTGCTAGATTTCGAACAAGAAAGTTGAAAGCGGCTACCATCAGCTGGAATGCATTAGCAATAAAACGAGATATCATATTGGAGTCGTGTTATGCATTTTTTTGTGGTTTAAAAGAAGTAAACCATTCTGTCGTGGCTTAAAATATTTATTCTGGGGTTGGTAAGCCTCAGAGAGCGGCCATTTTGTATTTATGGGTGTAATATGTTGTCGAAGATCGTTTATCTCATTATTCGTTCATCTTCGTGACTTAGATTTCGCACGGCGGCTTTCCTACACTCAGCTCTTTTTCTAAGTGCGGACTACAGCTAAGAGTTGACCTCTCATAGACCAAGAACTGTTTTGAATAAAGCTTTCGTTCCAAAATGTTTCTTAGCCTGTTTCGTCTTGCTGCTTATTTTATAGATTCCATGTAACACGAGATCTCTTCACACACGAACAAATTTGCATATGTACTTTGAAATCAGATCCGCAGACCTGTTTGCACACGTGCGAAAAAATTTACGATTTTTGTCTTTTAACTTGATTTTAGAGTAAAAACTTAACATGCATTTATCGCTTTTTTCATTGAAAATAAGTTGTTTAAATGTTCTTTCGCCGCAGCTTTTTTTGGGAAATGATGATTTATAAAGGTTTACTGCGCATTGTGTTTGCTTTTCCGGTTTCTCCAAAATTTTAACTTTTAACTTGCGTAGACACGGGTTACACTTGATTGTGAATGTGCGCTCTCTCTTTATTCCTGTTTTCTCGTCACCATATTCCCACCAATGGCGTAGCTCCACTTTCTGCATATAAACCCACACACAACCCACAATTCCTCCAATCGCTCTGACGAAGGGCTAACGCTCGAAACGTCAGTTTTTTACCCTTTACGGTAGCTAATTTACGTTTTCAACTCGGATGTTAACACTAAATTACCTTTTTATCACCCGCATGATTACAGACCGAATTGGACTCCTCTCAGTCTCACTAATAATTTGTGTTATTATCGTTCTCGTTATTATCATTTTCCTGAATTGTCGTAAGTGGTATTGTAAGTAGTGTTCTTCGTGTTGCAATAAAAAATAAAAAAGAACCGCTTAGGGTAAGGCTGCCAGAAAGTGCAGGCTACAAAATTGTGTATCAGAATATCTCCTTCGTCGCAGCACTGACTGAATTTTCCCGGAACGATGCTCTTAAGTCTTGTCAGTTGTCCTCATTTCATTACTTCTTTTTGACATTTCACGTTCGAGTTTTACACTATCTTAGTTTCTTTCCGATCCTATGGGAAACAGCAGCTTTGCCCTCGTTGCCTTGGTAACGTCACAAGGCTGTATTTATTTGTGTCAGATAAGACGCCATCAATGAACATTTACATCCTCTTAAGAGTGAAGTTCTCCCTTACGAATCACGTTTCAAAACTGCCATTGATGTATTGAATTTCATTTCAGACTAAGCATTCTACTTTCCTCGCAATTACAGAGATAAGCCAGATTATACCTTCTACGACCGAAATACATGTATTGGCTTAACATAAGGCGGAGGAAAAAAAAGAGCGTTGATGATGCACACACATGTTTTTAACTGATATCTTATTTACATCCCGGCATCGTTTAATGGTCTTTAGTAGACTAATTGCGTCTTTGAACTTAAAATTCAACTATTCAGTTTCTTGTTTATCAGACTCTAGTGTATCTCTCTGACTTGTTACATCGCCGTGCTCACTGCTTTCATTTGTGTGAGTGGACTGAAAGCATTTCGGCGAAAGTGAAATTTTTCCCAAATTGCGATGTTTGTCAGAAATTACGCACTTAGTTAAAACTCTGACATAGCATGGTGGTACCAATAACAAGCGAATGTTCAAATCTATTGATCATTCCCCTTTTTGTAAATTATTTATAAAAGTTGACAAAAAGAAGCCAATAAATGTGCATTGGTGCCTTTTTTTACATTGAGCCGTGGGATATTTCATTATAGATTATTCTAAGATCTTCAGTGTGGTTAGTGAATTTAATCTGATATTTCGCTTCCTTTTTCCAAATGTTCAGTTGTATGCAAATAAACGTATTTCGATTAATAAATGTGCCTTTTAAGTTATCCGATCTTTTCAAATAATGAGAGACATGTTTGGTGTGTGAAGCAAATAGTTTAAACCAGGTCCTTATGTTACGCGTCAAATATCATGAATTCGAATAAAAGCGTCAAACAGATAAAAACATAACAATTATCCTGACAGCTCCGTGAATATTCAGCTGCACTGTTTAAACAAATATTTGGGTAAATGAAAAGATTGGATCAGACTGGCAACTCATATCGCACAACTCATTTTTACCTGTTTTATCGCATAAGTCTGCGGTAAACTCAAAAATTGCAGATCGCTTCAGGACTGCAACGACATGAAATTATCGACCGAAGATTTCGTTCTGTTACCAGGATATGCTGTCATTGTCGTTATTGGAATAATAGGAAACTTTCTCATCTTAGCTGTCGTGAAAAGGAAACGCTACATGCATACTACAACAAACTTTCTCCTCGCCAATCTCGCTCTAGCCGATTTATTAACATTGTTGTGGTGTATTCCAGGAATCTTACTGAAAGACTTAATCACACACCCCAATGGCCTACTTGGAGACATTCTGTGCAAGTTTGTCACCATGCAACACATGGCCGGAATATCGCTTCTGGTCGCCGGGCTGACACTCACTCTAGTGTCTGTTGAGCGGTATAACGCGCTGGTAAACCCTTTGAACGCCAGCTTGCGGCTCACGAAAGAAAATGTCAAATATCCGATCGTTGCCATGTGGATGTTTGCGTTCATCTTTGTGCTGCCCCTATTTGTTTTCGAGGATTGGGACGAGATGCAGAATAGGTGTATTATGCTCTGGAAGAAGCCATCAGCGACCATTTATTGGTCAATTTTAACGTTGATTATTTTTCTCGCGTTTGTATTAGTCTGCTTCTGCTATCTCAATATAATCAGGGGATTGTATTTTACAAAGCAAATCTGCGCAGAAAGTTTAAAGTGTTGTTCAGAAGAGGAGATGCAAGCCAAGTGTAAAATCGTCAAGCTTTCGATCACCATCACAGTTATTTTCCTCGTCTGTTTCTTCCCTTTCGTTGTTGCCACAGTCTCTGATAAAATTTCAGCGGAGGACGTATTTTATAAGATCGCCTACTTTCTGGTTTATTGCAGTTGTTGCGTAAATCCAATTTGCTACGCAGTTCAAAGCACAAATTACAGAAATGCATTCAGGGAAACTATCCGTAAAAGATCGACCACTAAACAAACGGAACAAGCAGTGTAAAAGGTAACTGGTCACTTACCCCCACCCCCTTGCGATGTTGTGCAAGTCACGTTGGTGCTATCCTAAGTGACCTCAATCCAGGAGTAGTCACATTCTTCTTAAGTGTCGTCAAACATCTAGTCATAAATTATACTCTACTTAATATGAATAGACAACGAGATGATGAAGTATGAAAAATGCTTGGTTATGAATACTATTAGTCATTTTTCTCAAGGAACTAAGTTGCTATGAGACGAAGAAAAGATAATTAAACTTGAACAACAGGCATTGTGGGTAGGCTTTTTTTTGGTGAAGAGGGTTGGGGACAAGTGGACTTCTCCTGATCCACGGGAAACTCCCCCCCCCCCCCCTTCTCCGATTTCCCCCAGTCACTAGCTTCACTCCATCAGTTGTTGCTCCCTTAATTACAGGACCCCAAATAATAAATAACTGGTTTAAATGAATTTGATGGAAATGAACTACGTCGATTAAGATTAATTTCCCAAAGGAATCTTGAACTAAGATGCATGAAATTATTGGCTAAGCGCGTTCGGTTTAATTTACGAGTGAATTAGTCAGTTCACGAAAACATGAGGGGCTTAAGGAGGGAAGATCTTAGTCCAGGCTTAGAATATATCAAGTTGTCAATAGATTCCCTTTTACACAAAATAATTTTTTCTGGAAAGTAGCACGAAGGCTAACCTTTTCCTGTTGTTCGAAACGGACGCAGAATAATGGTGGGAAATGTGAAGATTGCCCTGTTCCGCTATCAAACCTTCTTTATGCTTCTACATCCATAATAGAATTGTTGTAAATAAAAGTAAATATATATTCAAATAAATTGTAAAATTAATAGGTTAATAAACAAATAAAAAGATAATGATTAAGCAGAAATTACTTTGATATAAGATTTTTTTAATTAATATTGCGGTAAATTGAACTGAAAAGGTGAACCAAGTATTTTTTTATATTTATAAGCCTCCACGTTCCGAAGAATAAAATTATCAGTGGGGTGGAAACTTGGATAGGTCGGTCAACACTTTTCTCCAAAATTCGTTTTAATTATAAGAAGTTTATTATGAAAATGTTTCTTGCGTTGATTTGTCACGAGACCTTTAATTTGTTACTATTCCTGCTGAACCAATCAAGAAACACGAGCAAACTCACTGCAACAGCTGTACCATTGTAGTTTGCCAAATCAAATATCACCTTATGTAGTATTAAAAGTATAAATTATTTCGTCGCCGAAAGTCTGCAACTTATTTTATTGTCAGTTTGCATTTGTTGACGTCGTTCATCACACTGGTATACGGCTGAACATGCGGCTGACTAACATATAGGGAACAATTTAGACTACTTTGACGAAAGGACAAACACAAAAATGATATATTCAGCAGTAGAGGTAGGTTAAGAAAAAAGCTGTTGTAAATATGTATGTTATCATTTCCAAGGGCATACAGTTTGCGATGTTACAAACCAAAGGACGAAGGAAAGAAAACTTTCTCGCTTTTTTAATGTCCTTTTTTTTACCATGGATACACGTAGTATCATTATGAAAAACTTGGCCGTAATTCATTGGGATACAAATGATTTTCTTGCAGCTACAGCAAAGTCTTCAAAAGGAATTTATCTGACTTATTGGTATAAAGTCCTAAGTCAAGGAAATCTGTTAAAAAAATTAAGACGATAGCTTAAAAAGAAAGAAAGTGACAGAGCGACGTACTTTTAAAAATTCATGGTGATATAGTGTAATCTTTCTCGTTGTTGTTTACATTTTCACCTGAGATATAATCCTGAGCAGTGAAACTTGAGTACAAAAGTTTACACAAGTCATCACATTTAGTCCAGCTTTTTATTAATTTTTTTCTGAGTACAATAACATCAAAATCACTCAAAGTAAACATATCTCTGAAAAAAAGTTAAAAAAATGTTCCATCCGTCAACTTATCAGTTCTAATTTCGGATGAAAGTATAACATTACGTCGGCATGAAACTCCCAGATTTTCGAAAAGATGAAGTTCAAATTTCGCTTTTTCGTCTATCGATGTAAACGATTGTAATTAACGCAAAGTATGAGACAATATGGTTTTCTACTAAAATATCATGGAGATAAAAGCTTAGTTATCACGATAGCTGATCCAAAATGAGGGGACTGATATTCTATAAAACGATAAAAAAACATTATCAATCAACTTAGAGCGCAAGAAAACACTAACTATTCGAGATCTTTATAAGTTTACGTCTGATTTGTTGGTGAGGCTAATTTTCAAATTCTAGAGGGATTTGAACCAAAACAAAGAAGTCCCGGATTGCGTCGACTCTGAATATAGCCGATTACTTCAACGGAAAAACAGGATATTTTATATAATTTCAGTATGAGGGACTTACCAACAGAGAAAATTATCCAATGACTATCACCCTTATATCATTTCATTTATTTCTTGGACGGTAAGCCTGTACATTAACCAAAGAGCAAAATACAATCAGTTTATCCCAAGTATTTGCAATTTCTAACTTTTTCCAAGGCGAATTCAACCTCTTTCATCCTTTGACAAGTTTTATAGGAGGAGATCCTTTCAACATCCTGGTGAAATACTAGCTGGTTCTCTCGGAAATAAGGGTATTTCCTGAGCGTTAATGGCCCTTCAAATCTGGAACGAAATTAAGTTTGATGTTCCAATATATAAAGGAAATAGTTTGTCACCATATTGCGGTAGAATTTCACTCCGAATTTAATAGTTTCCCAAAAGAAGAATATTTCCTGACCACATGATTAAAACAACTTTGCATACTATCCAGAATTTATTTTTTTGGCCACCGTCTCTCATCTCGATTGTTTCTTCTGAATTTTTAAGGTATACTGCTCAAACCGATGACAAGATGCGGTTCGGCGTCAGAACAATTTTTTGGGATCGCAACATTAAAACCAATTCTGAGTATTACAATTAATATTTTCGATTCTCGTCTCGTTAACTTTTTAGTCCGTTGAGATACACATTAAAAACCACCCAGTAAGACTTTTTTTTTGATACGTTCTGAAGTTTTCAGCAGAGTACATTAATGACGCAAAATCTACATATTAATTAATAACGGAGCTTTTACATTTTGCTGCAAAGTAAACAATAGCAGTGTACGTAGGTGTACTTTTTATCAGTTCAACAATGGTTATGATCAACTTTGCGTCAACGAAAAACAAGGAACCGGAAAACAAGCACTTTTTTTTTTGAAAATTGATATGCTAATAACTAAAAGCCAAGTTTGTCAACTGTTCTTGTCTGCTGTCTGACAAAGTGCGATGTAATCATTTCACGTTCATCGCACGATCTTGATCAAAGGAGAAAAACGGTTTGGAAGGTGAGTCGAATATCTGTTTCTTTGCTGCTCTTGCATGTAAGACATAATCTTTTAAGTAAAACGAAGTTTAAATTCGAAGAGTATTTGTATCTCTCGCACTTTGGTGTTTCTGTTGATAACACCATAACTGCTTACTTCTAATTAAGTTAAATTTAATGATTTTGAAACAACTGCCTGCAGATTTCAATTAAATGAACATAACTGAAAAACTCGTAGTGGACCGTAGAGTTCGAACGAAATTTCGGGATTTGGTAGTCTTTGTAAAAATGTCAGGGTGAACGACCGCGTCAACTGATTTGAAATCCAAAGGTGCGCAGAGAAGATCCTGTGTATTCTCATTGCTGAGCCATTCGGAACTAACCTGGATGAAAATTTTCAACAAAACCAACGAGGTGCTCTAAGATCTTTTGGTAGTATGCGGTATGTAAAGGTGCTTTTGAACATTTCAGCTGTCAGATCTTAACGTTACTGTTACTTCAAGCGAATAATTTCATTCGGCAAAATACTCCCTATGTGAACACCCCTTGATCAGATATGTTCAAGCTTGGAATATCAATAACATTTAACAGAGTCGTTAATTTATTTCCGCTCAGAAACTGAAAATTCCGAGCCTGATTGTCGGCTTTTTTACAACGCCATTTCATTCGTTTGCTTCCAGATCTGTATAACTTAAAAGGATTTTTGCGGAGGAAGGATAAATGAAGCGCTATCGAGGTAGATCCTCATAGTATGTTGGGGTATGAACGCTATTAAAAGTCGACACTACTATGTCAATTGTGTGTTGTTATAATTAATCGGAAGTTTACAAACAACAAATAAACTGCCAACATAAATCTAAAACTGATGTCTGAATAATTCACCTCCATTAAAGGCGGAAGCAATATGAATTCGTGAGTGACAGTCTTTCAATTTATGGTTGGTAACACACTCGCAGCTATCAAAATGACCTCGCGGTGTCTCATGCAAGGGAAATGGAAAGCGCTGCAGTATATGGCATTGGGGATTTTTTTTTTGTTTGTTTTATTTACGCCGTTAAAATGTTGAGAAAATTTTTTCATAACAGGCATTGATAAGAATCTGTAAACAACAAATTTCTCGTTTTGTTTACAAATGCTCTACTAACCGAGCTGAAGTTTAAGTAGCCTGCGTTGCTGGCGGTCTGCGGTTTTGAGTGCAGAGAGAAAAATGAAAAATTTAAGTTTAAGGAGAAATCATTCTGCTATGTATAATATAAATATTGAAAGGTTTTTTAATCCGTAGCCTGATCAGAAAATGATAGGCTTACATAAAAAGAACTGAATATTGGAACAACGATCAGCCAACATCACACTTCGAAGGCATCAAATATGTCTCAAGTATTCTACTCTGTCAAGGGTGGTATATTGAGTACCTTCAGACTTCACAAATATTTTATTTTTAAAGAGGAGTATTCCAAGAGTTTGCACAGACGTACAGAACAATAAACTCTTTTCTTTAAAGTTTGGGATGAGCCAAATATCAAAAGCACTTTGTTTCAAGGTACGGTGTCATCAAAAAAATGAACCCCACAGCCCAAGAACATAGCGAGATTCGCTCTTTGATTTCTTTATATAGTGAATTTAATTAACACGATATTCCAAGTTATATTTAAATCACCGAGAATGGAACATCGACTTCCTGTCGTTAATTACGTAAAAGGAACACCTTCAAAATTTATAGAAGCTTACAGATAAGAAAAGATTAAGATCTTCCTCTGATAATTCTTCCTCATTAGAAAGGCTTTGGAATTCTTTAAGTCACATTTTCACCTAAATCCTGCAAGCTTTGAACAGATCTAGAGGATCAAAAACAACAAATTTGAAATGCGATAGAGAAAAGATTTGTTTTTATCATTCTTATGCCTTATGGACTCCTTATACTCAGAGGTGCATCACAACTAAACTAAACAATAACCCAT